GTGTGTGTGTGTGTGTGTGTGTGTGTGTGTGTTTCCCCTAGGTGTTCTTTTCCTTCACTGTCACCTTAGGCCTCTCTGTAGTTCCCTCTTATAACTGTCCCGTACTGGGACAACCCAAAGCCCAAGAAGTCTGGTTCTTTTGAGCGTCATCGCCCCTCTGGGAAAACAAAGTCATTTCAAGTCCAGGGCTGCGGATGAATCATTATGGCCCAGACAAAGCCTCTTGGGACAATTGAATATTCTTTCTGTGTGACTCCTGTGGCTGCAGCCAAGTTAGCCTGGTAATGACCATTTACAAAATAATAAAAAAGAAAAACAATTATTGAATCCTCATAAAAAAAGAGAGGTTAAGGAAATGATCAATTCTTATTAGGTACAGATTAGATGCCAAAGATACAAAAATTTATTTAATGGTAGGCACAGAGGAGCCAGAGAAATAAGGACAAAAGGGGGAGCAAATGACTTGGCACTAAATATGAATAAGGCGAGCATCCCTAAACTCTTCATTTCTTGCTGCTTTGGCTGGGGATGTGACCACGCCCATCTCCAAGGACAAGGAGAGGTTATTGATAGGGACCAGGCCATGATACCTTCCTTCATACTCCTTGAAAAACATCTTTTTCAAATATTTGGGGTAGAATAATATAAGCATAAGAAATACACAGACATGTTTATTTTTTTAAATCAACTTCAACATTTTTGTGACTCTAAAAGTAATACGTGTCCATTACAGGGAAACTGGAAAAACCTAAAGAACATTAAAATAACCGGTAATCTGGTCAGTCACCTATCACTCTTAGCATTTGGGTGTATTTCCTTCTAGTCTTTCTTCTATCTATCACTCAATCATCTATCTATAACTATATAATACATACATATTTAAATTTGAAAATCATTAGTTTTTTTTAACAACTTACAATTATAACATATTATTTCTTAATTCATTTAACTCTCCCCCTACTGTTGCACTTATAAAATATTTCTTTTTTTCGTTATAAATAATCCTGTGGTAAGTATCCTATTATATAAATTTTAGAGTTTTTCAGTATTTCCTTGGAATAGATTCCTAAAAGTGGCATAACTGTGTCACTAGGTATAAACTTGAAACGAATCTTGGCAAATTGCTTTGCAGACAAGTTATGCCAACTTATATTTCTACCAGTAGGATATAAAATTACCCATTTCCCCACACTCGTGACAACACTGAATTTTTTTGAACCTTTGCTAATTTGCTAGTTTAAATTGATCTCATCATTTTCATTTGCATTCTCTTGAAAACTAGTGAGGCTGAATACATGCAATACTATTAGACATTCTGAGAATAGTCTACTGGGATTTAAGTGTTTTTTTAAAAAAATACTCATTTACATTTTCTTCTGTTTTTTTTTTAAATCTTCTTTAGCATTTAATGTAGCTAAAATTTATCCTGATATATGGTAAGAGGTAAAGATATAACTAAAAAAAATTTTTTTCCCAAATCTTTAGTATCAGTTGTCCAATGATTTTATAGTTCTTTTAAAATATAACTGAATTCTAATCATACTGGGGTTTCTTTCTGGCCTATCTACTCTAGTTCATTTATCTGTCTGTTGATTTTGGTACTAGTACCACACGAGTTTAGTCATTATGGCTTTACAATATATGGTACTGTAATATCTGGTAGATCAAGACTCTACTATTTTTCCTCTCAAAAATTTCATAGCTTTCTACCTTGTTCCATACCACTTATTCTCTCATTTATACTTTAGAATTATTTTGTTAAGAAAGCTCTCATTGGAGGTATTGACTGAAACTGCACAAAACCTATACATTAATTTAGGAAGAGTTGACGCATTTTATAACTACAATCCAGGATCATGGCATTGCCGTCTTTCATCTCTTCCCCTATTTAACTTCATTTGATGCATTCATTCATTAATGCATTCCACAAATATCTCATTGAGTGTCCGAAACGTGCTGTGTGCTATACGAGGTGCTGCAGACACAAAGGTTAATGAGTCTCACAAAGCTCGCAAAGTCTAGAGTAAGCTAAGTGCAGGGGCTATGAGAGTACAGAGAAGAGAGTAACTCACCTGAAATCTGAGCTGGGCCTTAACGCTGGAGGAAGGAAAACGGGGCGGGGGCCGAGTGTGGAAGTAGCACGTGCAGAGGTATGGAAGTGAGAACCAGCATAGCAAGTTGAGGGAAACGTGCAGTTCCAAATGACAAAAACTTAACGGACAGGTAGGCAGGGATGAAACTACAAAGTTCAGCTCAGCGCAGGCCATGAGGGGACTTGTCAATCTAATATCGAAAGTGATGTTTTTTTTCCTCCAGTTGGTAATGGAGCGTCACTGTAGGGTTTTAAGCAGGAAAAGGATGAAGTGGTTAGATTTTTTAAAGACCATCGGCAGCTGAGTAGAAGAGGATGTTGAAGGAAATCCAAACTGTAGAGACATTTCGGAAACTAACGTGGCACCCAAAGCAAAAGCTGATGCGAGTCTGAAGTGAAATGGCCCACTTTTCAATCAGCCGGACCTGGATTCAAAACCCAGTTCAGCAATTTATTACCTGTATGGTATTGCTTCTGAACCTCTGTGAGCCTCAATTTCCTTTTTTATAAAATGGAAATAATTTTAAGGACCTTACAGGGAGAGATTTGCAAGATCTTCCGGAGACATGACAGAGAAGGAGGAGTTGGTAATAGTTCCTTGGTTTCTGGCAAGCTGTGCTTTAAACTAGGTGGAGGATATAGATACAGCAGGAAGAGCAGTTTGAGAGGGACGGAGAGGAATGTAGGGGAAGAGAAGTTGGTGATGATGAATTGGTATGGGCAGAAGGGAGGGAGACGGGTAGGGACGTAGGTAGTTTGCCGATACGAACGTAAGAAAAAGAATACGAGAGACCTCCAGATTGTCTCTCATTATCAAAGTTGGTCTCAGATTTTTAACGTGTCCAAATTCCGTTAAATACCGCGATAACTCAAGTCCCACAACTAACCCCCACTTCCTGTAGCCGAAAGTCGGAATGTGGAGCCGGAAGCCTTTAGAAAACACCCAGTCCTCAGCCCCGTCCCGCCCCCACTGACGCCCAGGCCCCGCCCCTCATGTCCGTCTGTTTTCGGCAATGTCAATAAAGTTGCAGCGATTTGACGCTTACAGCGGACAAGATGGCGGCCTCCATCCTGGGCTCGCTGTTACGCACCGTCCGGCAGGTCAGGCCCGTGCCTTTATCCCACCCCTACCTCCCACCCTTGAATTTCACGACTCGCAGATTCCCCATGGCATTATTTCCATTAATTCCATGTGGCCCCGTCCTAGGGGTCCTCCCTCCGCCCACTTTACCCCCTCTGGCTTGTTTCTGGGGAGGTCCGTGTTGCACATACAAATTTGGTATTTGTAAGCGTGTAACCGACTGGCATTGAAAGCTGCACGATTGGCCCCCATATATAAAGGAGTGAGTGTAGGTAGAGAAAGAAAAGGGTCCAAAGTGGAGGCCCGAGAGACTCCAACCTTACGAGGTCTGGGAGATGAAACCGAACAAAGCAGACTGAAAAGGAGCTGTCAGCAAGGGAGGAGGAAAACTGATGAGTGTGGTGGCCTGGAAGCAAATGAAGATAATTTGAAGGAGCAAGGAGTGATCAACTTACTGCTCAAATCTGACTGGTCAATTAAAAGGAAGGCTGAGAATTGGCTTTTGGGTTTTACAGTGTGGAGGTTGTTGGGGACCTGGACCATAGCAATATTGGTGGCGTAGTGGGGGCAAAAACATTGTCAGAATAGGTTCAAGAGAGAAGGGGAGTGAAATTGGAGATTACGTGTATAGACAATTCTTTGAAGGAGTTTTGCTAAGAGAGCAGAAAAATAGGTCAGTAGCTGGAGGGGGAAGTGGGTTAAGAAGTGTTTTTTGTTTGTTTTTAAGTATGGCAGAATAACAGCATTTTTGTATATTAAAGAGTATGATCCTAGAATGGGAAAAATTGGTGCTGCAGGAGAGGGAAGAATTGCTGGAGCTGTACCCTGTGTAGGCAAGAGGTGGTAGGGTCTTGTGCATGAAATTGGGTATTAGGAGCATGGATTATAGCATCACTTTAGCATCAATAGCAACACTAATAGAAACACAATGCGAGCCACATATGTAATTAGAAATTTTCTAGTAGTGTCATTAAAAAGTGAAAAGAAACATGAAATTAATTTTAATAGTTTATTTAACCCAATATATTCAAAATATTATTTCAACATGTAATCAGTATGAAAATCATCAATGAGATATTTCATTTTTTTTTTTTTGCTTGTTAATAACACCATCAACATCCAGTTTATATTTTATACCTACGGCACATCAGTTTGGATGCTAAATTTTCCACTGTTAAAATGGAAAATGTCATCCTACCAAAACAATAAAGTTATACTTAACAGGAAAATATTTTACACTGCTTCAGTTTTTAAATTTAAATTAAGTAAAATTTAAAATTCCATTTCTCAGTTGCCCTAGTTACATTTCAAGGGCACACTAGCTACATATGGTCAGAGACTACTGTATTGGATACAGCAGATCTGTAGTAACAGGAGGGAATGAATGTAGAGCATGTGGCTACAGATCCACATAAGTGGGTAAATGTGGTAATGAGAGTTTGTGGAAGTTCTCTTCTGATTACTCTAATTTCAAAATTAATGAAGTGAGGTCATCAGCTGCGTGTGGGGATATGGAAGCCAGTGTTAGGAGTTTAAGGAAAACAGAGACAGTGTAAAATAGTTGGGAGAATGGGAGCAAGTACATTGAAGTGAGAGAGAGACCAAAGAGTTAAGGGTGTACACAAGAGAAGGTTTGTACTGATGAACCATGGAATTCAGGCTGGGTAAGAGAGGGAGACAGGAGGTCAGAAGGTGAGAGACAGTGGAAAGATAGTAGGATCAATGGACTGAATGTCCCAACGAGATGAAGGTACTGTTGTTATGGAGATTTTAGAAGGAACAACCTAGAAAGGTAAGAAGTATTGGTAATAAGAGATCTGGAATTGAATAGCTAAAGAAGAGTAGAGGACAAAAATCCTTGGAGAGGACTTCAAGGAATAGATCAGGGTATAATTTCATGTATATTGAAATCATCAAGAATTAACACAGGAAGACTATTGGAGGGTGTGAGCTAGGATCTAAAATCCTTGAGAAATGAAGGAATGGCAGCGGCTGTGGTAGTTGATTTCAACAATGAGGGGGAGTGGGAGGTAGAGCCCAGTGGCATCAGAGTCAAAGCTGGGACTTTCAGGAAGTAGGAAGGAGAATGGTCTGGAAGCTGCAGTGAAGAGCAAGGAAGACGCCTACCCCACCTCCAGGCCCAGTCATGGGAGGAAAAAGAATAACAGAAGAAGCTGTGGGAGTAGGGGAGAATTCAAGATTCAGCTAGAGCAAAAAGGTGAAGGAGGTATTAAGAGGAGTTGATGATTGTCTTAGTTATCTAGTGCTGCTATAACAGAAATACCATAAGTGGATGGTTTTAATGAAGAGAAGTTTATTTCCTCACAGTCAAAGTAGGCTACAAGTCCAAATTCAGGGTGTCAGCTCCAGGGGAAGGCTTTTTCCTCTCTGTTGGCCTTCTGTTCAGCGTTCCCCTGGACTAGGAGCTTCTCTGCGCAGGGACCCTGGTCCAAAGGACACGCTCTGCTCCCGGCACTGCTTTCTCGATGGTATGAGGTCCCCCTGTCTCACTGCTCACTTCTGTCTTTTATATCTCAAGAGAGAGCCTCAGGACACAATCCAGTCTTATAGATCAGGTCCTGCCTTACTAACACAACTGCCACCCATCCTCCCTCATTAACATCATAGAGGCAGGTTTACAACATACAGGAAAATCACTTAGTACCAGGAATCATGGCCTAGCCAAATTGATACACACATTTTTGGGGGGACATAATTCAAACCATGACAAGGATATAGGGGCTTTTGATGATGGTAGACCATGAGGGCCCTGTGAAAGAATTCCGGGAGGTGAAGAGGTGTGGGAGATGGGGGCAAGATAGGATGTGTGCAGAGCAGAACAGAATACAATATTAATATCTAAAGCACTGCTATAAACTGATAAGAAAACGTTGACACTACAATAGAAAAATGGGCAAAGGACATACAACATTCACAGAAGATATAATAAGCTAGCAAATATTTTAAAAGTATTACTTTTATAGTCAGAAAAAAGTTGTGCAAAAAAGAATCAAAGATTATATTTAAAAAGTAAACAGAACCCTTTTAGGAGACAGTAGAGAGGAAGTTGATTGGGAACAGTTTGAAAAAAGAATTCAAGTAAAAATGTTCAATTTTGTTAAGTTTCCTTAACTTTCAATTTTATAGGCAAAAGTAAACATTGCATTGCCCCTCAACATGAATTGTTTCTTTTAGCCAGAATGATTCCTCATGGTCTTATGAATATATCTTGCTCATTGCCACATTTGTTTTGAACAAACTTCACCTTCTCTCCCCTGCTCTGCTCCCCAGCTGTATCAAAATTCTGTCAATCCTTCAAAGCTTTGCTTAAGCCCTCCTTTTTATGGCACTTATTTTCAGCCATATAGGGCTTTCCCTACAGTGACCACTCCCCTCGGCTTGCAATTTGTCTTCAACTCAGTGATGTGCCAAATCTGTATTTAAATTCTCCCTTGTCTTATTTCCAAAAGATGATTATAAAATTGTTCTAGTTCCCCATGAGACTTCCGTTTAGTAGTAAGAACATAGAAGGCACTCAGTAAATCTTTTCTTGGTAGATTTAAAAACATTGGCTTTCAGTGCTCTCATTTTCAGTTTTATTTTCTGCTGTACATATATTCTTTAAACAGCTGTTATGGGAAGCCACCGTTATTTTGTGTCATTGCAATTTAATTAACATGTAATGTTTACTCTAGTTTCAGAGAGAATTAAGTTTCTAGTGTCTATACTCCCTATGCCTGAACCGTCAGAACTGTAAACTATCCTCATGTAGATGAAATGTGTGATAACAGAGGACCTATTATCTTATTACTGGACAACTAGTGCTAAGAAATATTAGGTCAATGATAATTTCAAAGTACCTTTGACCCAGCAATTCATCTTCCAATACTTTATCCTGCAGATGTATAGGAACACATATGAAATGATGTATATATGAGGTTATTCATTACAGCCTTGTTTGTAATGTTAAACTATGAGATATGGCTTAGCTGCCCACCAGTAAGTCTCAGGTTAAATGAATTAGGATGCATCCATACAGTGGAAAACTGTGCAGCCTTAAAAAATGAGGAAGCTTTTTACACAGAGATATGTGAAGATCTCTGAGATACACTGGTAGGTGAAAGGAAGAAAAAAGGAGGGGTGTATACATGTATCTGTATAGACAAAAATCTCTGGAAGGATACATAAGAAATGAATAACAGTGGTTACCTTTGGGAGTAGGTGGTAGTCACTGGGTATGTGAAAGGTGAGGAGGGAGGGAGACTTTTCACTGTATGTCTTTTTATACTTATTTATTTTGAATCATATGACTATTAGCCTAAGTCAAAGGTAATGATACTGAAAAAACTATGAAAATTTTTTACCTTCTAACACATACTGTATTGGCACTATATTAATTGTTACCATTTTGGCTTAATGTACATCCATTACAGTTATTTGTTCTGAATTAAGAAGTCTATTATTTTAAATTGTTATTAAAGTGATCCAAAACAACATTAAAAATACTAGGTCATCATGACTGAAAGAGGATTACAGGATTGGGAGACAATGGCAGAGCCTGGGTCCAACTAGCCTTCACTTGTTTCTTGTCTCTGTCCTTTAGATGGTTCCTTTATCAGCTTCAGGCCAAGTTCGAGGTTACTACGTAGACTGGAAAATGTTGCGTGATGTGAAGAGACGAAAAATGGCCTATGAATATGCAGATGAAAGGCTACGGATCAATTCCCTCAGGAAGAACACCATTTTGCCAAAAGACCTTCGGGTTAGTTAATTGTGTCCCTAACTACCACAAAATCATTAAGTCAGGACACTTTTGATACTGTTTGTTGTGACTTAGTATCACTATACTTTTTGGGGAATAAGAGCAATGCTCCAAGTCAACACAAACCAATCCCTTGAACCTGATTTTGGTGAAGTTCAGATCAGAAAGAGCTATTTACACTAACTAGCCTTTCAACTATTTCATTAGGCGATCCTTAGAAAGTACTTGTGCACAGTGACTGTGTAGAAATTGGCAGTTATTTGGCCCTAGGGTCTCTACCCAACTTCATCCCAACATTTGGGATGGCAGACTTTGCCGATATCTAGGACTGTGTGCCTAGCACGTGGCTTAAACTGTTCCTCATCTACGACCATTCCAGTCCTGCTTTTCTGAACTCCCTTAGTCCACCTCTGTGTGCTGAGGTGGGCTTCTGTTTAGGCTTACTTTCTTGTCATGCTCCTCAAATAAAAGGGTGCCAACCCTGCCCCATCTTGGCTTCCTGAGCATAAGGTCCTGCACCTATCTGGTGACAGTCTTGTCTGAGTTAAGCCAGATGAGCAGAAAACTGAGTACCCTGGACCACTCTGTTAGGGCTTTAATGTAATGGCATAAACTAACTGTCTGTGTTTAGGGAGTAATGAGAAGTGGCCCCTGAGAAACTCAGCTACAGATGTTGCTGAGGACATTATTATGTAGATCCCTAGCAGGAGCTGTGCTGAGACTCTGTGAATGTTGCTTGCCAAATAGCTTACAAGCCAAATTTATGTCCCAGTTCCAACAAACCCACAGGCTTCCACAGCATGCACTTTTGTATCCTGGGCTTTTGCCTTTTCCACTCTCAGTTTCCCTTTGTCTCAAGTTCCTCATTTTGTAAACTCTTAAATCTTTTTGGGAACAAGGAGTTGGATGGATAGACAGACAGACAAACAGATAGCCATTCTTCAAGTTCTGTATCCATGAAACTTTAGTCTTTCAGCCTACTCAATTCTCCATTTCCTTCTAAAGCACTCATCATCTAAGTCACTCCTTGGCTTAATGATGCTGTTATATGTAATTCTCTAAGTATTTCATAATGACAACACATTTATAAGCTTTTGGAGATCAGGAACTATTCTTAATGCTTAACAGTGTACATTAATTTAGTGGCTTTCATATGCATTTTCTCATTTACTTTGTATACTTTTAAGTGTAATTATTTTGCTTCTACCACAGTCTAGCACAGTGTCAATCATACTTGTAAGAACACTTGTCAGATTAATGTGCCTATAACACACACACATACTTACAAGCACATTCATTAGAATAAATCTCTACTGACAAAATGCTAACCCAAGCCACTGGCATTTCTTGCCCAAGCTACTATACTAATCCTGGCTATTCTCCCCTCAGCCACTTTTGCCCCTCCCATTCATTCTCTGTATTGTAAATGATGTTTTAAAAATGTAATCTCATCTGGTCACACCCCTCTACTTCAGCATTCAGTACCATGGGTTTCAAAGCTCTATGACCCTACCTTTGCCTCCTTCTCCAGTCTCACTTCAAGCCTCATTCTCTCCTCTTTGATCTTTAGCCTGGTGGTTTCAGACTTTCATGATTCAGAAATCATATTGGACCACAAGAGAAATGCATTTATATATTTTCTAAATGACTGTACTAGTCTCCTAGGGCTGCTATAACAAAATACGACAAACTGGGTGGCTTATAAGATCAGAAATGTATTGTCTCACAGTTTTGGAGGCTGGGAGTCCAAGATCAGAGTGTTGGCTGTGTTGTTTCCTTCTGTGGCTTTGAGGGAAAATCTCTTCCATGCCTCTCTCCCCACTTCTCATAGCTCCAGCCATTCTTTGGCTTGCAGCTGCAGAGTCACATGGTGTTCTTCATCTGTCTGTCTCTGTGTTTCTGCTCCTCTTTTCATAAGCATGCTCCTATGATTGTACTAGAACTCACCCTACTCTGGTATGACCTCACATTAACTTCACTGATAACATCTTCAGACACCCTATTTCCAAACACGATCATGTTCTAAGTCCCAGGGGTTAGGACTTCAACATACCTATTCTGGGGACACAGTTCAATCCATAACAATGACTTAAACAAGAGTGTATGTAGCAACACTATTATAATAGTTCAAAACTAGAAGCTATCCATATGTCCCTCAGCTGTGGAATGGGTAAATGAATTATGGTACGTTCATACAAATAAAATTATTACCAATGAGAAAAAACAAATTATACCACGTGCAACAATATAGATGAATCTCCCAAGCATAGTGTTGAATGAAAGAAGCCAAGCAGAAATGAATAAAAAGAATACATACTGTGTAGTTACATTTATATAAAATTCAAAGCAGAAAAAACTCATTTCTGGTGTTAGTAGTCAGGTTAGCTGTTACTCAGGGGTTAATAACTGAAAGGGGCACAGAGAGGGCTTGGGGTGCTGATAATGTTGTTTCTTAACCTAGTACTGGCTACACAGGTGTATTTGGTTGTGAAAACTTACTACACTTACGATTTGTGGATTATCATGTATCTCAAATTTCCATTAAATTTTTAAAAAGTTATTTTGACAGCATGGTGTACATTTCCGGCAGCTTTTGGGTCTGTTTGTTTCCACTCAAGAGATTAAAGTTCACTACTGTGTCCAGGGTTCTTGGGCGAAGCCAGTTTAAGCCACGTGCTAGGCACACAGTCCTAGATATCTAGCCCTCTTTCTCTTCTTCATCTGAGCATTAAACTAAGTATCTGGAATAAATAAATGCATATGATCTGTGTAATAATATTGTGATTTCCCTTAGGAAGTTGCTGATGAAGAAATCGCTGCCCTTCCGAGGGATAGCTGTCCTGTTAGAATCAGAAATCGCTGTGTTATGACGTCCCGTCCACGTGGTGTAAAGCGACGCTGGAGGCTTAGTCGTATCGTCTTCCGCCACTTAGCTGACCATGGGCAACTTTCTGGGGTCCAGCGAGCAATATGGTGAATCAGCTCCAGAACCTACTGAGTTTGCAGGGAAGCTAGTTCCAGCAAGAAGAGACTCTTCTAATAGGCAAAAACCTAGTTTTTTTAGGGGTCCAGTATAGGAGTCCTGATGCTGTCTATAAATTACTTTCAAAATTTAAATGAAGAAATTTGGATGTTTCATTCTGTCAGTGAAATGTGGCTGTCAGTGAATTAGCTTTTCTCTTGGACTTAATAGATTAAACATAATGTTGCCATACGTGGTGCAGAGTTGTTGTCAGGTGCCGTCGGGTCAATTCCAACTCACAGTGACGCTGTGTACAACAGAACACAACGCTGCCTGGTGCTGTGCCATCCCCGTGTCTGCTGCTGTGCTTGAGCCCATTGTTGCAGCCGCTGTGTCAGTCCATCTCGTTGAGGGTCTTCCTTTTTTTTTTGCTGACCCTCCACTTTACCAAGCATGATATCCTTCTCCAGGGACTGGTCCCTCCTGATAACATGTCCAAAGTATGTGAGACGAAGTCTCACCATCGCTTCTAAGGAGCATTCTAGCTGTACTTCTTCAAAAACAGGTTTATTGTTCTTTTGGCAGCCCATGGTATATTCAACATTCTTTGCCAACACAACTGAAAGGCGTCAGTTCTTCGTCTTATTCATTGTCCAGCTTTTGCATGCATATGAGGCAATTGAAACGCCATGGCTTGCCTTGAGTCAGGCACACCTTAGTCCTCAAAGTGACATCTTTGCTTTTTTAACACTTTAAAGAGGTCTCTTGCAGCAGATTTGCCCAATGCAAAGAGTAGCATAATAAAAATATTTTCTGTGAAAATATGCTCTGTATGCTTTCCTTTTCCTTCCAGTTTACTCTTTCAGCCCGTATTTTTTAAGGGCATAATTTCAGAAACGGTTTATAGTTAATCCAACTAACTGACATGTATATAGTCATCTGCGGTGATTTTTAATCCTAGGTTGTCTCCCCTACCTGCAAAGCTCACCGTACTATTAGGGTTTTTTTTTTGGCAGAGAAACCGTAGATTGGAAGATAAAGCTGATGTCCTGCATCATGTAACTAATGCTCATCTTCTCCGTGTGATGGCTGAATAAAAGGTAGAAGAACCTCTGAGTGTTTTCTTCTTCCATCTTCAAGGGCCCTTAGAACAAAATGTTATAACACTTCAAGCTTCTGAAAAATCTATCCAAAGAGAAGAGGTTTTGTTGGAATAGTATATATTCCCTGTATTCATGTTTGTATCATCCGTAATAGCAGTGAGTGTAAGAGTAGCAGCAAAAGGTTGTCTCGTGCTAGCTCAACACTGATTGCCTGCCTGCCTGCCCACTCTGTCCCTACCATCAAGCAGAGGGACAGGATGGTCAGCCCAGTGATAAAAGTATACGAGGAGTAGAATTGCCGCACCTAACAGCATTGGGAAAGGATTCCTGGAAATGATACCTGAACTTAAATCAGGAAACAAGGGGTGAGGAGATTCTCAGCAGAGGGAACAGTAGAAGCAAAGGCACAGACAGGGCATCAAACAGGTGGTCCAAGTGGTGAAACTACAGTCAGAAATATAAAGCACAAGGCAAGAAGAGCCATATCATGGATGATCTCACATACCATGGAAAGGAGTTAAGACTTGATTTAAATACCAGCTATTGGAGGGTTTTAAGCAGAGGAATGACATCATCAGTTTCCAGATAACTGACAGCTGTGTGGTAAGTGGCTATGAGAGGAAAAGGCTACAGGCAAAACAGAAGATGTCTGCATGATCACGAAGAGGAGGGCTTGAAGTCATGGTGTTAGCATAGAAAAGAGGACAGATTTAAAAAGTATTATTTAGGAAAGAAAATTGGGCAAGACTTAGTGCCTGATTATATCTGAGAGGTAAAGATGGCTCTCTGAGTTCCTGGTAAGGGTGACGAGATAGCATCTCCGAGATAGAAAACATGGGGAAGAGAATGGGTTTAGGGGAAACAGCAGAAAGATAGTTCAAGTTTCAGTCGTGCAATGTTCGAGATGCCTGAGTCATCCTGTTGGAGAAGTCTCATATTCAGCTGGATGGCAGAGTCTGAAACTCAAGTGCAAGGTGAAGTTATACAAGGGAATATATACCTTGTATATTTTATATGGTGATACACCTTGGATTCATACTTCATAAAGTTATATAACAACTTACCAACTAGAATGTTCTAGTTAATAGCTAGTAACTTCTTGTTGTTAGGTGCCAATTATTGACTCATAGTGACACATGCGACAGAGTAGAACTGCCCCATAGGGTTTCCTAGGCTGTAATCTTTACAGGAGCAAATCTTCAGGTCTGTCTCCTGCAGATTCACTGGGTAGGTCTGAACTGCCACCTTTCAGTTAGCAGGCGAGCACTTAACTGTTGGGAACAAGAACCATAACTTTGCTGATGTCTGGCGTATCATTTGTAGGACACTCCCACCCCCATCCCCCATCTTTTGGTTTGAATCAGGGTCTAAGCATGATCCCTATATTTCATTTGCTTTCTTAAATCACTTTTGGCTCATAAACCTCTTATCCCACTTTTTTCTTTATGCCATTCATTTGTTGGAGGAACCAGGTCATTTGCCCTGTAGAATATCCAACATTTGGCTATTTGCTTCTTCATGTGTCCTTTTAACTTACTCCTCTGTCCTCCAAATTTCCTGTAAACTGGTAGTTACATCCACAGGCCTGACTAAATGCAGGTTTTGGTGGGGAGAGATACTCAAAGGTGGCACTGTGTGCTCTGTCACATCGCATCAGGAGACATGTCTGGTTGTCCAACTTTTAGTGATGCTGAGATTGATCAGTGGGTTCAGGTGAAGTCAGGCTACATTAAAGTTCACCATTAATTAACCTGTCACCTAATGGTTTTAGTCTAATGTTTTATCTTTGATGATTGTTTCTTGATAGATTATTTCATTAGGGGTTGAAATGGTGATTTTCTAATTCCATCATTTTTTATGCATTTATTAGCTGGAATTTTTCTCTAAGAAACTTTGTTATCAACAATTTATTTCCCTGAAATACATTTCTTACAAGGCAAGATAAATTTAATTATTCTCTGTATCAATTATTGGAGTAAAGGAGTTTGTCCTCTAGCAAGTTCCAATGGCAACAAATGATTATTGACTATCATGAACTTGCAGATCTTTATATATTTAGTGTTTCAATCCACTCTAGTGGGTTTTTGATTGTCAGTGTCCCGTTACCAAGAGCCCCTTAAGTGGCTCCTGTATCCTGTTGACTTCATATATTTGATATTTCCTTGCTTTCTGCCATTAAGATGACCCAGTGTCACCATGTACATTTCCTGCCTCATTTTTTTCAAGGGTCCCTGGTCCTTTGAGTAGAAAATGTTTTGAGACATCTAAGCACTGGGGGTGCTCATTGTTACTGAGTTGTCATTGCTTTTAGGCACTTTTGGTGGGCCCTCCTAGGAAATGTGGACTTTTTAAAAGATAAAAATAATAGTGAGTTTATATTGTTATTTCCAATCCTAGTTTAAGGGTTTTGACTTCGAGTTTTACACTGGTATCCCTTTTCTTTTACATGAAAATCTTAGCTCCCAGTGGTATCAACCTTTATCATGTAATATATAAAAAGTTTCTATATGTATGTGTGTGTGTGTACATATATATATATATATGTATATATCAGTACCAATGTAACTACTAATAACAAGACCACTGACTGCTGTTTAAAATTTGTGGTTCTTTTAAACCTTAGTATCCAGCTCACTATGGACAGTCAAAACAATGTGTTCTAAAATCACCTGAAGTAACAATGGCACCAACCTGATAGGCAGTTGTTTCTGCTTAAAATTGTAGGGTTACTTTTTAGTTTTTTTAATTTATGTAAAATTTTACATGGTTCTGAAGTCAAGACTATAGAAAAAGTATAGAAAACAGTACATTCACAGAAGTCTCCTTCCTTCCCCTATTGGTAACCATTTTTTTAAGTTTTGGGTTTATTCTTTTAGAAATACAAGCAAATCCACGTACATTAACATTTTTATCACCCTTTCTTCCATAAGAAGTAGTAAGTATGCCATAAACAATATTCTACACTTTGCGTTTTTGCTTACTATATTCTGGTGATCATTCCATATCAGTATATAGAGATCATCTTCATTTCTTTCTGTGGCTGAGTACACCCTTGTGTGGAGATACCAGTTTATTCAGCTATTAATAACACTGGGTGTTTCCAGTCTTTGCATGTGTCATTCCACATTTTTACCAGTGTACCTTTGGAAGTACTAGAATTGTGAGAGGATAAATGCATATGTAGTTCTGCTAGATATTTCCAAATACCCACCCATAGCAGTTTAAACCTTTCATTCCACTCCCGTGCATAAGTGTGCCTAGTTCCCCACAGACTCAACACAGTATGCTAAACTTCTGGACTTTTCCAGAGAAAGGCAAGAAACAGTAGTTTTACTATTTCTCTATGACCAAGTTGAGCATCTTTTCATGTGTTAAAGGCCATTTACATTTGTTTCCCCTATAAACTCTGTTCATAGTTTTTGCCCATTTTTCTATCAGATTGTTGGGATCCTTTCAATGCAGAATCTTTGGTTACACATTTTTTTTCTTTCCATGTTGAACATTTCTTTTTAATGTAGTTAAAATGATCAGTTCTTAGTTTTATTCCTTCTAGATTTTAAGTCCCATTGTGTAGTTTCCTCCCACCTTGTAGGTGATAATGGACTTCATTCATGTCTTCTAGTACTTGTATAGTTTCATTTTGACATTCCAATCCATATGGCTATTTTTTAGTTACCCCAATATCACTAAAGACCCATTTCCCGCCACTGTTTTGAGTTGCCCCTTTTACTGTGTTGTGAAACTTCCAGGTGCACTTGGGCCTTTTTCTATTCTGTTCCACTGTTCATTTATTCAACACCAGTTAATTAGAGATTTTATAATGTGTTTCAGTGTCTGGTAACAGTTATCCTATATAGTAGGCTTTTTGTATATTATGTCCTGTCACTTTCACCAAATTCTATTATTTTTTGTAGTAGTTTTGGTTGGTTGTCTTGGATTTTTCCTTTATAGCTTCTAATTGCTTTCTCATTTAATTGCACTGGCTAATACCTCCAGTAAAATGTAGTAATGGAGATCATATGCATCTTGCTTCTGATTTTAGTGAAAACTGTTTATTCTTAGCCTGATTTTCTGATACACTCCTGCACAAACAGGACAGTCCTGGACAAACAGTAAAACTATTCCACTGCATAAAAGTTTAACTTTACTGAACACAGAAATAGACGGATTTTTCAAATTAATTGATTTTGCTTTATGGTTATTGTTTTTGTAAGCCATTTGACCCATGGCAAAACTTCCTACACGTATTCCTCACTTACTGACATTTCACATTTACAATAGTAAAAAATCTACTATCCAACTGTTTTCACATTAATGACGTACATCTGGTAGTTATGAACACCGAGGTGTGAGGCAAGAATAATGCTGCTGTGATGGTTATGTGTCACCTTGGCTGCGCCACAGTTCTCAGTGGTTTGGCAGTTATGAGAATGATGTAATTTGGTAGTTATATAAATGATGTAGGAGCCCTAGTGGTGTAGTGGTTAAGAACTCAGCTGCTAACCAAAAGGTCAGCAGTTCAAATCCACCAGCCACTCCTTGGAAACCCTATGGGAGCAGTTCTACTGTCCTATATATAGGGTCGCTGTGAGTCAGAACGGACTCGATGGCAACGGGTTTTTTATAATGATGTAAGCTGGCAGTTATATAATGATATAGTCATCCTCCATTTTCACATAATAATGATTTTCACATAACGGCCTGGCCTTTGGAACCTGACCATGTCGATAAGTGACGAGTGGGTGTAACTGGTGTTAATATAAAGATGCTTGTATATTCTTGTTCAGTTAAAACTTAGTTTCTAAGTCTATATTCATAAAGAAATATGTTTAAACCTAGAGAGAAACACTTGTGGTTGGATTATTAGTACATGATATATTAAGCACTCAGCTACTAACCAAAAAGGCTGGCAGTTTGAACCCACCCAGACACACCTTGGAAGAAAGACCTGGAGATCTGCTTCCGAAAGGTTAAGCCTTGAAAAAACTCTGTGGGGCACGACTGTACTCTGCAACACATAGGGTCATCGTGAGTCAGAATCAACAGCAACTTTTTTTCTTTTTTAAAATGCATTATTTAAGCTGCTAATAGAAAAGGGTTACCCTTCCTACTGCAACTTTTAAGCAAAGGTACAAATTTGCTTTTTATGCCAAGGAGCCCTGATGGCACAATGGTTAGGTGTTTGGCTGCTAACTGAAAGACCGGCAGTTCGAACCCACTAGCCGCTCCACGGGAGAAAAGACCTGGCTGTCTGTTACCATAAAGATTAAAGCCTAGGAAACCCTATGGAGCAGTTCTACTCCGTCACAGAGGGTTGCTATGAATTGGATCGACCTGACGATACACAACGACTATTATTCTTACACTGGTGGGAGCTGATGTCAGTAACTTAAAGGCAACAAATACTTTTGTTTCTACATCTTAGTTGAACAAAAACATACGTGGCATTTTTAGTGGGCAAGGCTTTTTTTAAAAAATTCCAAGCGAAAATGCAGTATGACCCATTCTTGAACAAAATGACCAGGGTACTAACAGAATCATCTTTGGAGGAAGTGTTTAATAAACATATTTTATTTAAATAAATCCTCCAGTAGGAAATGGAGAATTCACTGCCTTTACTTAGAAGAAGGCTTTGCAAATAGATATGTCAAATTTTATCTGTGCAGCTCATCAACATTCCCTTATTGAAAACATCAGTACTTCCACATCACAGTTCCCAAAAGGACCTGAAAAAGTCTCAAAATTCTGTGTCTCCTTTGGCTTGCTTCTCTCTTGATTCTACCCAGGCTTTATTAATGGTTCGCTTCATATCATCATCTCCGTCTTCATAAATTTTCTTTAGAACATTCATCAGTCCCTCACTAGGATCTGTTTCAGTGTCATAAGAAGGCTTTCTGTTAAAGAAGAAAACACAACACAACAATGCACTGACAGAACACTTCCGTGTATTTACGTAAGCACAGAGGAAAGTACAGAAAGATACGACGCAAATTAACACTGGGAGGGAGGGGCAGGGCAAAGACAAGACACAATATCCGAAGATGTTCATATTTAAAAACAGCACACACAAAATCCTCTTAATAAAAACCACACACACACCCTCTCTCTCTCCCAGTATATGGAAAAGTGGTCATCAAAATGGCAACATACTAGGACAGTGGGATTTCAGGTGATTTTTACCTTTTTCCGTCTCCATTTACTTTTCTGAATTATTTTTGTTTTTAAAAGCATGTTTCCTTATTAATTTGGGGAAAAAAATACTTTCACTGAGGGAAAAGCACAAACATACATCACACATGGACACACAATGAAGCTCAAAGATTTTTAATTAGAAACCCTCCCCTCAAGCCCTGGCACCCTGGTGGAGCAATGGTTAAGAGCTCAGTTGCTAACCAAAAGGTCAGCAGTTCAAATCCACCAGCCACTCCTTGGAAACCCTATGGGGCAGTTTTACTCTGACCTACAGGGTCGCTATTAGTTAGAATCAACTCCATGGCAACAAGCTTGGTTTTTTTTTTTTGGTCTTAAGTCTAAGATACATGAAATCAGGGGCTGGTAGTGAGAACACAGTCCTTAAGGTGGTCAGTACCTCTAGTTCAATGAATGTCCAAGCTGGGCCAATTAACTTTATATTTAATTATTCATTCAGCCACCTCATTTATTAAAGTGATACATTCTGCACTGTACACCGGCTATACAGTATGAATAAGATAGGATCCTGTACTCGAGTAATTCGGTTTAGATTTAAAATCAATTCCACTGACAGTCCTATATGCCTAACTGTAGCCAAGCTCATCCAAAGTGCATGCTGGCTATCAGAGGGGAGGAGTGAGAGAAATATGGATGGCTAACTGACTCAATGCAGTACATTACCACTGCAGAAAAAGCTTAAAGTATAGAACATTTGACCTAGAATGGAATTATCTTTGAATTAAGTATTTTTCAGAAGAGTCATTACTAAAGAGAAGAATAAATATTTTTTGCTCTACATCAGTGATGTTCAAACTACCTATTAGAAACTATTACGGAGTTAAAAAATATATATCTGGGAATCTAGGTCTCTGTAGAATTACTGAAAAAGAATCTCTGGAAAGGGGTACAGTACTGCATAGACGCACCACTGGTTGTCTGTGCCCAGGGGTAAAACCAGCACTAAAACAACAAAACTACAAGGACCTCCTTAAAAAGCAACTTGCTGGACATGCCCTATTGAGGTAGGCTCTAACAGCTGAAAGTAGATACACAAGAAAATCAGGTTTACTCAGTGGGCATCAAGAGGTAAATGGTCAAATCACAGACTATGCAGCTCTATTACCTACAAAGAACAACTATTAAGAAACATCTATAATCCCAGCAAAGAACACAGTAAAATCTGTGAAAGGAGACTCACTCTTTCTCTTTGCATTCTTTTTCAACCTGAGTCAGATAGTCCCACCGCATGTTTTCAGCTTTCTTTCTACACAAGATAAGAACTGTATCAGTCTTGACCTGGAAAACAAGTGGGTACAACTTACAACATGTTGACATAAGCATAAATGTTTAGAAAACAATTTATAGTGAAACCTGTGACAGCTGGAACTCTATGGGACCACCTTGTATTTCCAGGTTTAGTGGAAAATATTTGCGTTTTCCTTCTCTAACAGGTTTCTGCCTTACACAGGTTCCAGTTTTCTCAGGTTTCACTGTATTTATTCAAATAACTTAGTGTCTACTAAGTGTAGGATCTGTTCTAAGAATACTTCGGTGAGCAAGGCAGAGTATCAACACTCATAGAGGGGAAAGACCATAAATAAATAAAACTTTGGATACCTTCAAATATTAAAAAGTGCTATGAAGAACAACAGGGTCTCGTAAGGTGGGGATGGCGGTGGGTAGGAACTTCATTAGGAGGGCCTCTTTAAGGTGAATCTGAGCTGAGACCTAAGATCTGGGGGAAGGGAATTCTAGGCTGATGGGGCAGTAAGTTGAAAGGCCCCAAGGTGGGATGATCTTGGTATGTTTATGAAACAGAAAGGAGAAGTAGCTGGATTTCAGCGATGGAAGGAGAGCTTAATACAGTATGAGGGGTCAGAGACAGGCAGGAAACCAGATGATACCAGGCAGTATTGGAAGGTAAAAAAGTGGAAAAAGCAAGAAAGTACAACTCAACAATGATCCATATAACTCCGAAAAATCGTCTGAGTATTCCTTCACCTGTGGGATTACAGTGGATAAAAAGGTAGTGAGACACGAGCTGATCAATAAACTATATTATATTCTAATACTACCTTTAAGCTACTACATAACTATATGTAAACACAGATGGCAAAATGGCATGACTATATACCCAATGCATTAGTTTTCTTTCATCATATTTCTTCTCCTTTTTTTCAGGTTGGGGGGGAATGGCATGTGTTTTCAGTATTGGAATGCACGCTTACTAATTGAGTGTGTTTAAATTTTTGGTTGGTAATATGGATTTTGAGAAATACTATCTGGCAATACAAGCCAACAATGAGGCAAGTGGCACCGTGGAACCACCAGTCTTGGTATGACAACATGCCAACGACGGCTATATAAATAATTTACTGTGGGCACCTTTCCCTTTGGTTACATGGCAGAACCTCTGGTTTTCCAAATGTGACACAGAAAAACCAAAAAAACCCATCAAGGCTCCCTAACTATCACACAAGAAAGCCGTAATTATGCTTGCAAGCCTTAACTCACAGAAAAAAAGGAAAAAATTTACAAAACTAACACATCCAGGAAGCATCACCTAATAGAGTGTTCAACCTACACAACCATGACACTCTAACTCCAGTCTGCTGAGCTTCACGATTTCAAAAGGGACCTACCTTGATGCTAAATGCATTAGAACCAGAGTAACATCTTACCTCTGAGGTCCAAAGGCATAAAAAGTGGCTGGTATACCATTAACCCAATGGTAATAAAAGAGGGATTGTCTGAATTAATGAAAAGCATAAATAACAACTTTTTAAAAGACAGTGACGTTATTTTTATGGCTTCTACTAAACCCCACTAAGCTAAGTGTTTAAGACCTCTTTTATGTATCAAAATCTTGCACATAACCCCTGAAACTACTGTACTGAGATAATCTTTGAACCTTAAAACAAAAATATCCCCTGAAATCTTCTTAAAACCAAACAGTAGTTTAGCTTAAAATAGTAAAACAGGTCTGCCTTGAGAATTATGCTCTTTTAAGAACTACCTATACCGGATCAAACTGACAATAGCAACTGGATAGATTAGACAGGAACCTTAGGGAGTAGTGAGTTTATGTTAAATGGGGAGGAACAACTGAGAAAAAGAGGGTGAGAATGGTTAGCAGCTGACTGCTTTAACCACTGCGCCACTAGGGCCCCTGGTTCTGACGACAGCTACCATTATTTAAACTTTACATGTAGTATTTCATTCTAGCATATCATTTCAACTTTGTGAAATAAATTATTATTCCTATTGTAAAATTAGGGAACTGAGACAGAGTAAGCTGCCAAAGGTCACAAAACTCCTAAGTAGTAGAGTTGGCATTTAAAAAATCTTGTGAGCAGCCATCTAGGATACTCTACTGGTCTCACCCCGTCTGGAGAAAGGGAGAATGAAGAAAACCAGACACAAGAAAGATTAGTCCAAAGAACTAACAGACCACAACTATCACAACCTCCACCAGACTGAGTCCAGCACAACTGGATGGTGCCCGGCTACCACCAACTTCTCTCACAGGGATCACAATAGAAGGTCCTAGACAGAGCTGGAGAAAAATGTAGAACAAAATTCCAACTCATACACACAAAAAAGACCAGACTTACTGGTCTGACAGAGACTGAAGAAACCCCGAGAGTATGGCCCCCAGACACCCTTACAGCTCAGTACTGAAGCCACTCCTGAGGTTCACCCTTCACCCAAAGATTAGACAGGCCCATAAAATAAAACGAGATTAAATGGGCACACCAGTCCAGGGGCAAGGATGAGAAGGCAGGAGGAGACAGGAAAGCTGGTAATGGGGAACCCAAGGTCAAGAAGGGGAGAGTGTTGACATTTTGTGGGGATGGCAATCAATCACAAAACATGTATTAATTGTTTAATGAGAAACTATTTTGCTCTATAAACCTCATCTAAAGTAAAATTAAAAAATTAAAAAAACTCAAGTCTCCTTCTTAATCATTTTAACAGTTTATTCCCTTCCTGATCTTACTACAATATTCTTGACAAGTTTTTTCTGTAAAGAGCCAGATAGTAAGTATTTCAGGTTGTGGGCCACATGGTCTCTGGGGCAACTACTCAACTCTGCCACTACAGCACAAAAGCAGCCACAGACAACCCATAAATAAATGACTATGTCCCAATAAGAATCCCTGGTGGCGCAGCGGTTAAGCATTCAGCTGCTAACCAAAAGCTTGGCAGTTTGAATCCACCAATGCTCCTTGGAAACCCTTTGGGGCAGTTCTACTCTGTCCTACAGGGCTGCTATGAGTCGGTGTCCCAATAAAACTCTACAGTATTTATAAGAACAGGCAGTATACTACAGTTTGGTGATCCCTGTTCTAGAGGGTAAGCTCATTCTAGTTCATCACAATTCCAAATCAGCCAGGTCAATTTAATGATATTTCAGAATACTGTGAGCAAAAAAAAAAAAAGAAACTCACTTTTTTTGAACTGCCTTCCACAGAGATGGGTTTCAAGAGGTTGTTCACTATCATGGAATAATTCTTCCCATTTAGATTCTTTACCAGAAGATCAAATGACCTACAACACAATAATGAATACATTATCTTTCTGGTTCTAGAAAACGTGCTCCGTAGTTATTCTGGAAAGTAGCCACCAGTTTTATTTCAGGGTCTGCATCTGGCCAGCCCAAAAGACGTTAAGACCCATCCCTTCAGACTAGGTGTGAAGGATAATTCTGAATTTATGGGGAATTTTAGAAAACGCAAAGAAAAGAGCTCTGTGATAAGGCAATCTCTGGCTCTTAGCGATCAATCTGATCATTGTCTTCCCCAGTACAATGGGACTCACCTCTCTGTGAAATGCACCTGTATATTCTCAGCAGGGACTTGATGAACTCCAGTTAATGTAATGTAGATTTTCACAAACTTATCTGACTGATCCCATCCTAGCAACAACAACAGATGGAACACAAATAAGTCTCTGAAATTATCTCTAGAACAGCAAGTGCATGCAGTTCATAATAAAAATACGAAAATTCAGTTAATAGAAACATGAAAAAATTTTCTGGTTGGAGAAACCGAGGCTTAAAGCAGTTACATAATCTATCTAAAATTAGGCACAGAGCAAGTGGTAGAATGTGGACTCAAATCCGGGTCTACCGAAACAAAGGCCATGCTCTTTTTATTTCTTAGACGCAACTGAAAAATAGGACAGTTAAACACATTATTTACGAGCACTTCATTTTCTCTTTTATGGAAGTTATTTTTTTCCTATACCTAAATATTGGTAATCCCCCACTAAGATCAATGGCTAAAACATCAATATTGTTAATTCCATAATAATTTCTACTTCTTCAAGCAAGCCAACAAATGCAATTCTAGTTTCCTCAATTCCTATCTGGGCCAAGATAGAATATAAATTTAAGGAGTCCAATTCTTCATCCAAATATGCTAATCTGAACTGTTATCTACTAACATCTATACTAAACGCTATCCTGGTATATATTTTCAAACTACTAACAACAGTCTCTAACCCAAATGAATCCTGTCAACACAAAAAAATATATAAACTTCACATAAAAAGCATATTATACATCGTTTAGGGCACACCAAGCTTCTGTTAAGGATGATGGAAAAATTTGGAAATAGATATGGTGACAGTTGAACAACATGATAAACATAATGTCACTAAATTATACAAATAAAAAATGGCAAATGTTTTTGTTACATATGTATCTACCATAATAAAAAATAAAAGATTATATACATCAAGAATATATGTGCATGCGTATATATATGTATTCATCCTTGACTGTTCCTTGCTAATCCTATAGAATAGAGAACTAGTGTTACTCAAATACGTCAATCCTCCTAAAGGGTTTTGCAGAACTTTATCCAGTGTCTTCCAGTTCATGCAATCCATCTTCCACACTGATAGTAGAGCTATCAACACAAATCTGGGTTCCTGGTTAAAATGCCTTCCCCACCCTTTCCTCACCCTAACACCTTCAGAGTAGATTCCTACAGTCATCCAGGTAAACAGTGTTATCTCTTAAGGCACTCACCCCTCTTTGCTATCTGGCCTCTATCCTAGCACACTGCTTTGGCCCACTGCAGATGGGTAACACTTAAAATATGTCACGCCTTTCATGTCTGTGTCCTTTGCTCCTGTTGTTTCCTTCCTTTTCCTCTTGCTGAACATACTACTCACCCTTCAAACGTCTAATTCTCACCTCCAGCAAAATTATCTCTTCAGCTGTATTCCCATACTTTAAAAAATCTCTATTCAATTTAGCTAAGCAAGTATTTATTAAGTTCCTGCTATGTGCTAGATAATGTGAACACAAAGAAAAATAAGACTGTCCCCATCCTCGTGAGAGCTCATCACACAGGTTCAAGCCTCACTGCTTCCAAACCAAAACAGTTTACAATCTACTGAGGGGAATATGGTATTCTTACACTGTATATGATACTAGTTGTATGGCTGTGTCCCAGCCACATCATGAGCAAGAACTGGATCTTAGCCATCTTTTATGTCCACAAGTCAAAGCACAACAGTAGCACATTATTAGATGCTCAAAAATATTTCTTACTTTTTTCCTCAGTTAATTTTGGTGACTGTTTGGCTAAGTGAAACACAAAACAGAATAGTTAAGGAAAAAAAAAAAAAGTGTTCCATATATACTGAATGTATTTCAGAATGTTTCTTATTACCTATCAACTTTGCACTTAAATCATCTTGCTCTCTTGTTGATAGCTTCCAGAATATATCCCTTCCTTTTTCACCTCTAAAAAGTAAAACCAAAACCAAACCCACTGCCATCAAGTTGAATCCAACGCACAGTGACCCCATAGGTTTTCTGAGGCTGTAAATCTCTAGGGAAGCAGACTGCCACATCATTCTCTCTCAGAACCACTGGTAGTTTTGAAGCACCAACCTTTAGGTTAGCAGTCAATCGCTTTAACCACTGCGCCACCAGGGTTCCTTCTAAAAAGTAAAGCCATCTTATTAAATAGGAGCTGATGATGGAGGCTGGAAGAACCTCCTAATATACTGCTGAGATAATCTTTAAACCTTAAATCAAAAATATCCCCTGAAGTCTTCTTAAAACCAAACAATAGGTTAGCTTAACTAGTAAAGAATGACTGCCTTAAGCATTGTGCTCTTTTAAGAACTATCTATGGGCAGTCCCAATATCTTGAGTTACGACAAACCACACTTAACACCGTCTGGTTTTTTTTCCATCTTATCGTTAGTAATATGTACTACATACACTGTCACAGCATCTAATTTGCTGATGTTATCATTCTCATGCCAACCCCAAAAGACGAATAAATATCTGATTTATAAAGATAATCATAATAAAAGGCATAATGATAAAAACTAAAAATAACACAAGGTATCCTATGTCAGAACCAACTTAAGAGGGAGTCGTCAGAACGGAAACTCATCATAAATTGGAAACTACCTGTATATGGGATCAAACTGACAACAGCAACTCAAAAGATTAGGTGGGAAACTTAGGGGGCAGTGAGTTTACGTTCATGCAGGAGGAATAACTCCGAAAACGGTGAGAATGGTTGTACAACTTAAAGAATGTAATCAATGTCGGTGAACTGTTCATGTAGAAATTATTGAATTGGTATATGTTTTGCTGTATATATTCTCAACCACAACAAAAAATAAAATAAGTTAAATCAGAAAGAAAAAAGAACTGATTGGCCTTCTTTTAAGCTACTAAAAACAAACACTCAAAACTATTTTACAAATTAGTTTGTTAGTGGGTCACTACTAAGGAATAAGTTGCTCAGGGCAGAAAGTTGGCTATAAGAGAGTAAGTCATACCATAATTACTGATTTTCACTGTATATCCCATTGTCATGGGAGCAACTACAGCCGCTGGCTTTTCGTTGTCAAGAGGGTCTGCTTTCCCCTGTGATTTCTGCTGCATCTTGTTCTTGATTTCTGTCTCAATCTTGGATTTTTCAGCTGTAAGGGCATCACGTACTCTTTTTCTAGTGGCCTTTTCCAGCAACACCTTTACCTCTTCCAAATCTTTCTGCAGCTGTGTTAAAACAAAGGATAAGTTAGCTGTGATAAATAAGGTAATAACTTGATATTGTGACTATCACTCATTTCAACTTAGAGAAATAAGAGCTAAGAATGAAAAGGATCATTTAAATTTCCTAGGATTGGGTTGCAACTTGGATTCCTTCCTGCAGCCTGCTGAATTATAACTCAAGCTTCCTTTTTTTTTTTTTAAGGAAAATTTAGCGATCTTGAACTAACAACAGGTATCAAGCCTAAATTTTCCAGTTTGGTAGACTGTTATCTATCTTTTAGAACATTATATTTACGAGATACTTTTGTGATTTATAAACTCAAGATTTAGAATCCTTTCAGAAAAAAAATTAAGAGTTCATAGATTTCTTTATACCTATAATACATCTAGTCCTAGTATCAAGACGTCAGGAATTTTTTAAAAATTAAAATAAAAATGATGAGAGAGCACATGGTAACCGTGGCAAAATGCTCAGCAACTCATCTGAGGTAATCCTTTACATTTCTCAATGCTCACTCCTCACTGGTCTTTCTACCCCAAATAGTACACATACAAGAGAGTCAATTTTAAAACAAAAAATAAAGGCATACTTCTGTTAAAAAAAAAAGTCTTGCTCTGAAGCTCAGGGTCAACCTTACAATCAGAAGTCTGGGATTAGTTGTACAGTGGAGAAATGTCTGGCAAACAATTCAAAATGCAACATGCTCTTGATGACTGAAAACTATTCTTTTCAAAAAGCCGCCCTGTTCTTGTTTTCTTCTCATGTCAATACACTACCAAAGTCTATTTTATATTTCTAGTTTTTAGAGACGGAGTCAACATTTTATGAAACTCAAGAGCTAAAGATACTGTTAGAAAATTAATGGGCTCAAAACATTTTCCAGATCTTTACAAACCACTGATTCATTTTTCTTAAAATGACTTTATAGTCTGCCTCAATACTAGCAACTTAACAGGATGAATTTTACATTACAGTTTGAGAGCATATAAAAAGCTTAATATAAAAATCTTTAAATGCTTAGTAATTCATCTTAAAACCAGAAGTACTACAGTTTGAGAGCCATTATTTTTATTAATAGTATTATAAAACACACTAACAGAAAAAAATAATGCTTTCCTTTCACCCCAAGTCTTTTGCTATTATCTCATTTAACTCAGATGCCCTTGTTTCACCTACCTGTAACCGATATTATGGCACAAAAACAGTCATAAAAAGTCGAATTGTGCCCCTTCTTGTCCACACTTCCCATATGCAATCAGAAAACCAATTTACATTACTAAGACAAAAAACTGCGAACTCATCTTTTGAGCACAGAACTAAAATGTTTTAGTTCAAAGTAATCTTACTATAATGGTTTCAAAATATACACTGATTCTAATACTAACATAATACCCAAATGTAAAATGAATATAATGTTCCCAGAGATTTATCTATCATCAAAAACAAGAGGAATTCTCTTCCTAGCAGACTCAGCAAAGAACTGAGCATTAAGCAAGGGACTCCCCAAAATGGTCAAATTCCCAGGTCCTCTTTATAATTTTGACTCTTAGGTACTATTTTGTAAGGTATCCACTGAAGCAACTTAACTGCAGGCCTGTTTTTCGTAGTTCCTTAATTATGCTGTTATTTGCACACCTGAAACTAGTAACGGTGATCTCTTTTGGTGCCCTTCAGCACACATGGTTCTTAAGACTATAGAAACTGCTCTACCTAGGACATCGTAGGATTCCTTACCTTCCTAGCATGCACTGCTTTTCCTTCCGCAAAAATTATCCTGCCCACACCTTCCTTTTGAACTTATATACTAATCCTCTCTGGTACAACACTTTTATCCCCACCCATAAACACATGGATTTCTTTTTGGGGTGATGAAAATGTTCTGGAATTAGGTAACGGTGACAGTTGCACAACAATGTGAATATACTAAAAATGGCTGAATTGTACCCTTTAAAGTGAGTTAAAAAAACTGCCTCCTAAATGCAAATTTAAAAGTACCTAAATTGAGAAAGTCCCCTTTACACAAAGCTATCCCTGTATGACCGTAAAGTCAACTCTGAGATTCTCTTCTCAGTGCAAATGTACCCAAGGTCTATCTTTCAATTTGTGGCAAGTTAGCCAGATCAGTACTTATACACACACACAATTTTTCTTCATTTAAAGCAAATTCTTAGACTTACAAAGACAAATTTAAGATTTCCCAGTACTTGTTCTTTATACTGAGGGAAAAAATTCCTGAAAGCAAATTTATTTAATTGATACCCAAATAGTCAACATGTAACTGTGACAGACAGTATCATTTACTTACATCCTACTTATGCCAGGAAAAGAGCAATGCCAGTATTATTACTATTTTGTGGCTAAGCAAAGTAAGTCTCCAAAAAGGTTAAGCTGCCCACGTTCGGAGTTTATAACAAGAAAAACACTATTTCCTATTCAATTTCCTACCACTAGTTAGAACTTTCAAGTTTATCTTAAACGCGTATAGGAGATTGCTGTTTGACAAGCACTGTTTTAAACATTTAAAAACATTAAATTTTCTAACTCCTCTATGAAGCAGATACTACTGTGGCACACAGAAGCAAAATAACTTACCCAAAGTAACACAGCTACTCATTCACGTAAAAAAAAACACGACTTTTAAGACAAAGTGCTGGGACCAAGGACTTCTCAGCTTCTAACTACCCTCTACTATGGAACGACACTCAGTTTCTGCAATTAGCTTTAATTTAATGAAGCTTCATGTCTTCTAACCAGTATAACGGGAGCACAAGGGGCCTGAGGAAAACGTGTAAGGAGACACGCTCTCGCAGATCCACCATCTGCATTACTACAGTCGGAAATCACGACATCCCTTCCGCTCATCACATCGAAGGACCGACACTGCCCACGGGCCTAGGCTGAGGACCGGCATCGATCGGTAACTTTCCCTGGATAGCAAAGACCCGGAGGCCCGCAGTGGCCGGGCAGCACTAAGGGCCGCTGCAGGTGGTGGGGTGGGAGGCCGAGGAGGAGCGCGGAGACCAGAAGACCCAGGAAGAGGCTGGGAAGGGGGCCCGTGTGGAAGGCACGGGATGTAGGGCGCGGGAAACCAGCGACAGAGCTCGCCAGCTCCGCACTGACGAGTCAGGAAGACGAGGCCCACCCCTTACCTCTTCCAAAGCAGAAGCCATGGTAGGGGTGGCTCAGATCAAGGGCCGGAGCTGCAGCCGCGTAGAGCAGAGAACAGAAAAGGCCGCAGCGAGCGCGCTCAGGAGAGCGCAGACAGCACCGGCACCCGTGGCAGTGCCCGCAGCCCCTACGCTCACCCGACCTTGCGTGCGGTCGCGGCCCGCCTCCCGCACGCGAGGCCTCTGGAACCTTCGCGAGTCCTCCGCCGCCGCCGCCACCGCCCACCTGGAGCACCGCCCGCCTTGCTCAGCTCCGCCCCGCCCGTCCCGCCTCGTATCTTAGCAACGCTCAACTCTCGCGAGCTAACCGGCAGTTCAAAGAGAGTAACGCCTCTTCCTCCCCGCTCCGGGTAACTGTATGTACTAGTATGCATTGACTTCATTTGCCCCGGCTGCGCAGTCGCAGCTCCGACCGCTCCCTTCACGTACTTTAACCCAGCTCAGGAAATAATGTACCGATCTTCGGGGTTCAAATCGGAAGTTGGGTAGAGAGTCGGCTGCTTCCGTCCCCTCTAGGAGACTGGGGCAACTACGCAGTCATCTTGCCTAAGGCTAGGCTATGTGCCGCCGCGAGAAAACAAGGAGGAGGAGCAGCCTGTTTATGTTATAACGGAACAGAACGAACACGTTAAGTGTGGAGAATTCTTGAACAGTTTGATTTTTGGTGGGCTCTGGCGCGTTGGTGAAGTCATCAAGTCTTGGATTCTAGCGCACTAGAGACGTCACGATTTAGCACCTAACTGCTGGTGTTATCGCGTTAGTTAGCGGCTAGGGCTGCGTTGGCCATGTGATAGAAGGCCGTATAGCGAATCCGAGTGAAGGCTGGTAATTAAAAGGTGCGTTTCAGGCTGTGGCCACGGTGCGGACTGGGCGGACTCTCACGGGTCCTTGAATCCCAGTTCCCTGGTACTTTTACCCACTTCACCTTCCATGCTGCGAGTCTCTAGCTCTCACCCAAGTTTGGATTCGATACACTTAGAGCCTGTTGACCATCGGAAGGAAATGAGGTGGCTGAATTTTCATGGGTCTCCTTTCTACTACTCTGTCTCTAGCAGCCCCAGCTCACTAAGACCCCTGAGAAGCCCACTTTTCATATTATTTTAGCCTCTGGAAGCCTCAGATGTGTGAGAAGGAAAAAAGCTACTAGAAAAATGAAGGCTGACCATTATTGGAGTTAAGAAAACCAAATGAAACTAAACCCGTTGCTCTCAGGTAGATTCCAACTCATAGCGACCCCGTAGGATAGATTAGAACTGCCCCATAGGGTTTCTAAGGCTGTAAATCTTTCCGAAGCAGACAGCCACATCTTTCTCCTCTAGGGGCTGGTAGGTTCCAACAGCCAACCACTTTAACCACTGCACCACCAGGGCTCCTTATGGCAGTAAACTAGTACAGTACAAAAGTTGACAACTACAGCTTCTCACAACACTTGTGAATCTCACAAACATGACGTTAAGGGAAAGAAGCCAGTCATAGAAGAGTTCCTATTGTATGGCTGCATTTAAATGAAGTCTAAAAACAGCAAAACTAACCCTTGGTGTTATTTGGTATAGTTAAAAGTATAACTTGCCTAGGATGGGGAGGACAATAGCAGAAGAAGCCTCGAGGGGGCTTTTGCGGTCAGGTGATGTTGTGTTTGTTGTTTTGGATGCTTACTACTACTGGTGTGTTCATTCTGGAAATTCATTGATCTGTAAACTTGTATTTGTGTAGCTCCTTTTGTATGTTGTACTTAACTAAAATTAATACTTCGGAAGGCCCAGGGATGGGGGATTTCCTAGGGGATGGAAATGTTACACTGATAATTGTCAAAATCCATGCAGTCCAAAATTCTGTGCATTTTATTGTTTGTTAATTATATCTCAATTTTTAAAAAAGTGTCCAACCAATAGTCTGGAATTACTTAGTACTTAATTAAATAGGAACAAATATTCCACTGGACTGGGTGAAAGCTTGACCTAATGCAGAGATTTTTCAAGTTTGCTTGATTATATGTCTGGAGCAACTCCTATCCCAGAATTTAAGTATCTATTATCCAATGACTCCCAAATCTTTATCTTCTGCTCCATCACTCCCCTGTGCTCCAGACTCTACTTGGATATTGTCTTAGGAAAATACAACTTTCAGTGCAGTCAGTGAGACAGAGGCATAATATGCTGAACATGCGATCTAATTTTAATTAACAGCTATGTTTTTTCGAAAAAACGTTTTCCTCAGTGTTCAAAACCAGGGTGTGAAACCATATGCCCCAGGGGGTCTTAACCAAGTGACCATCTGCTCCCCAAAATACATGTACTCAGAAAGAGTGCTGTTGCCAACAAGATAGTTTTGCAAGATAGACAAAGAAAATAGACGTAAGCATCTTGTGACCATGACATAAACGTCCTGTGAAACCATCTATTATCACTAACTGTACTACTAATAATCAGTAACCAGAGTGTGATTATTCCAATGTTCATTGGTTTCCTGTAATTGCTCTCCCTGTAGTTTGGTTCCTCTTTTTACTCTGTAAGAATACTTGTATAATGTAACTGCCCCGGGACTACCTGGTTCCATTTTCAATGGGCTATGTAGTTCCCCAGTTGCAATTGTTTAAAACCCTTAATAAACCCCTCTGTTTTAACTTGAAACAGCATTCAAGTTTTTCTTTACAACGATGTCTAATTAACCCATTGCCGTTGATTCTGACGCGTAGTGACCCTAGAGGACAGAGGAGAACTGCCTCATAGGGTTTCCAAGGAGCTGGTGGATTTGAACTGCTGACCTTTTGGTTAGCAGCTGTAGCTGTTAACCACTGCGCCACCCATATCAAATTCAGGTTGTCTGAAAAATCTCCGAGTTTCTCCTCATCACACCCCAAACCAGCTCCACCAAGTACAGGTAGTCCCCTTACCGCGGGGTTCCATTCCAATGACTCCATTGTAACTTGGTTCTGATGTTAAGTCGAATACCTCATGTTTGTTTTGTTGTTTTTTTAGTTTTCATTATTATTGCCTTTTATTATCATTATCTTTATAAATCCGATCTTTATTTTTCTTTGGGGGTTGGCAACATTACATATAAACTTAGATATATTTTAATGTATATAGTACATATTACTAACGATAAGATGTACACAAAAAATAACCCAAATGATCATAAATGCGGTTTGTCATTGTAAGTCAGGGACTACCTGTATTCTCCAGCTCAGTGACTGGTCACCTCATTCTGTTAATTGCTCAGGCCGATCTCAGGTCCTACATCCTATCTATGACAAGTCTTGCTGGCTCTATCTTCAAAATATGTCAAGAATAAAACCCCTTCTCACCACCTCCACTGCTAACTGCTACCCAAGGCCAAGCCATCATTACTTTGTCTGAACTTTTAGCCGCCTAACTAGTTTTTCTGTTCCCACCTTGTGCCTTCACAATTAATTTTCTACAGAGCAGCTAGAGTAAACTTTTCAAATCATTACATCCCTTGGCTTAAAAGCCTCAACAACTTGTTAGGCTTAGAATAAAGTCCAAATTCCTTCGTAAGTCCTATGAAGTTCTACAAGATCTCATCATACTTTCATGAGTTTCTTGTTTTATCTCACAGAACTCATCTCCCACTACTCTCTCTTTTCTCTCGTTCATCCAGTCTGGCATTTATTTTTGTTATTCCTTCAACTTGTTGACTTTGCTCACTTTCAGGTGTGTACTTCCTGGAATGTTCTTCCTCCAGATCATCGCGTGGACCATTTACTTTATTCAGGTCTCTCAAGTGTAACAGGGGAGGTTCTTCTTGACTGTATCAGTCAGGGTTTAACCATATACATTATTGTCATCATTGCATGCTGTGGAGTTGATTTTGACTCATAGTGACCCCATGTGACAGAGTAGAACTGCCCCATAGGATTTCCTAGGCTGTAATCTTTATAGGAGCAGACTGCGAGGTCTTTTCTCCCGTGGAGCCCCGCCGCAGCCAGCGTTTCTGCCTCCCCCACTCACTGTGTCAAGACCACTCATGACTTCCTAACTGCCAAATTCAATGACTACTTCTGAATAATTCTGACTTTTACTTTTTCTGCAAAATTCCTTAATGTTTAAAATACCACATGAATATAACAGAAAATGTCTATAGTCTGGGTTTGGGTCACAAGTTGTAATTTTAGAAACTCTGCTTGAATTCTGAAACAGGCTGACTTATCTCTTTACTTTCCCTTAGGTTCCATAGACTCCCAGAATATAATGCAAATAGACACTTTTGGGATTCTCTGCACACTGCCTCCACTTCCAGGAGAGCTTCTGGAGTTCTGTTTGAATCATGTATCACCTACACTGCTGTACCTTGAAGGACTAGCAGCAACCACCTAACCCAGGATTAGCCAATTAGATTTTTGCAAGAATTTAGAACTGGGACACTGAGATGCTAGTCCATCTCTGTTAGTTATTTGAAGGGAGGGTATGTAAACTTGGTAGTTGTGACTTAGAAATAGAGAAAGAATGAAGCAGATAAGCATTATTTTACAAGACGAGCAGAAGAGCGATCATGAGAATAGTTGCCTGGGTTCCTGGTGGCATTCCAGGCCCTTGTCCCAGTACCTCTTCATATCCAACTCTGGTCTCTGGGATCCATCAGATGGACGCCCCTGTTTCCTTTTAATTCATTTGCCTTTCTTTCTTTTTTTTAAAATTAAGCTAGCTTGAGAGGGTTTCTATTACTTGCAACCCAAGGAATCTTGATAAAGAGAGGAAAATAGGGCACTTGGCAGTGCTGCTATACAGGGTATCATTTTGTAGGGTGTAGCCAGTAGCAAACTCCTATATATGTTTTCCTTTCTAAGTTGACTGGCATCTAGGCTAGTGGGTTCAATAATATTGGGTCCAAATGATTTAGAATAAAGTCAATTAGAAGAAATCAGAAAGACACGTGGACTTTGGAACAAATGTTTATTTCTGCTGAATGAAGCCAAAGGGCAACACAAAGCATTGAAAACAGCACTACTGGCTCACAAAAACAGGCACCTGGTTACCTTTGTGGTTGCATTTGTTTATTTCACAAGGCTTTATTCACACATGAAAACAAGATACTAATCCAATTCAAGTTCATAACGATTATAAAAGTAAACATTTGTTGGGACAATGTACAATAGCACTTTTCTTAACAAGCATTACATTTACATTTATAGAGTTTACTATACATAATACATGGAATTAAGAAAACATCTAATTGGTCAGTGTTTACAGAGGGAGAGGCTGATCACGAATATTTCTTTTGTAGTCAACTAGCACTGTTTGGGCTAATCAACTCTTTATTCCAGAACCTGTTTTCATTAGAGAAGCTGTGGGCAAAATCATAGGAATAGTTCATAAAAATATAGTACAGAATTTCTACTACCTCCTCGACAAAGGAAAGGTAGGAGTTGGAAAGAGAGGAAGTGGGGCTGACAGAAACTTTTTCCCTCATTTGAACTAAGGATCCATGCATTATGCAAAAATACCAAAAATAGAGAAACTGATGCAAAAGGCTATTGGGACATCTTGGATTCTGGGACCATCTCCAGCTTTCTTCTGCTTTCACACCAGAGTCTTTTGATGCATTTATATCCTTACAATTCAGTTTCCTATATTTTATTCCATATATAGTCTATAGTTATTAAAAGTTACATATTATTGGGAAATATTTTACATGTTAAATAATTGCCAGTGAAAAAGGAACATAACTTAAAAATTTCATTTTCTACTCAATAATTCTTTTTATTAAACTCTTCAGAATACCACTAATGATAAACCAGGGATGGGGTGTGGAAAGAATGGGACATGTTGATGAGAATGTTTTTATAGCAGGTTCATTTGGAGATAAGCCTGATATGTACTCTTTTAGATGGAAACAGAGGTGGAGCCCACACTGAAGTACTCATTTTGGTAGCTTTTAAAAGGTAAGGAAGTTCATAAGGTAAAGGCCTTGCCTGTATTACATGGAAGCCACTATGAGAGAAGGATGTGTTGGGACAGTTCTAGCTCAGTGTGACCATCAGAATGACAACTAAAGGGAAAGACAGCATTTTACATCTGGTAGAAAGAAACAGGCCACAGAGCTGTTGTTTGGCCTTCTGGCTGTGATTTCCATGTCTTGAAATCTCAATGTGCATTTGGTTGCATGGTACCTGGGTACACAAAATAGGCAGGGATACTAAAATTCTATCAATCACAGAAAAAAAAAAAATCTAGTAGTGTTCAAATTGTACGACAGCTTGTCCATTTTCTCATTTTAAGTATCTGTAATTGAAGCAAGAAAATTAGAGCAATTTTTGAGTTTTGTTTTTTTAAGTTTAAATTATACAATAGTAATCATCTTGCTAAGCAATTAGAAATGTTCTTTCCCAGAGAGATAAAACAAGCAAGGTACTTAATTTTTTAAAAGGTTTGTCCTAAAATCAGACAACCACCTTACTGGCAAAATAATAGGTAGATTGATTTTAGCTAAAATAAAAGAAAGCTCAATAACTTACATTAGTTATGTAAGTGATTCTCACTATAGGTGACTGACCAACTCCTTTAAGAATCTCTTATCTCTTGTGCCCTAATTTGTATATTGTCTTGGTTTTCTCACTTAAGCTAGGAAATGAAGCCACTGGTTATTAACTGGAAAATATTTTAAGAATATGGAGTAGGAGTTGGAGAACAATAAATATCTGTACATAGTAAGAAAGAATAAAAATTTTGAAAAAAATGAAATGAGATAAATGCTAATAAATATCTCAACATCAACACAAAGATTGCTTTTCTAAATTACTAAGGAATTTAAGAAAGCCAATGGAGAAGAAATTTCTAATTGAATAGCTGAGAGAGGGGAAGAGAAACATTGGTTGTACAGAAAGATAGGCCATAGGCCTATAAGGCATTCCTATTAGTGTCTCTGGTACACACTGATATACAGAACATTAGGAAACTGGGAATTTCTTTGAATTAAATTATATGTAACTAAATATAACAACTCTGACATGGCTCAGGATGTGGGAAGCTACCAAACATATGCACTGCAAAATTCAGCTTGGCATCTTTCAGCTTTAAAGAATGTGCTGAGAAACGATTCTCAAGATATAAAAGCTATTGAACTGAATTATCAAGTTAAATTTCATTTCCTTAATTTATTCTGCAGAATTTAATGAGAAGAAAAATCATATTTCAGAATGTTGCAAATGTTGGATTTCTGGAGGAATTTTTGTACAGTGTATCCTAGGAAAAGATGAACCACACTCTAGCATGTTAAATGTCCTGGAATTTGGCCAATTGATCTCTTTCTAAAAGAAATTCAAGACAAGAGTAGCAATTCTCAAAATATATCCACAAATAAATGAGATTAAAACCAGTAGTTACTTAATACTGGTATGCATGAGTCTTCAAACAATACAGAGTTATGGACATGTGGTTTGGGAGAGTGCTACTATGACATTTATGAAAAAATCATATCATGTACAAAATTTTGAACTTTCTTTCCAGTCTTTACTATTGCTACTGACCCAAAGTCATTGCAGCAAGGGACAGTTTAGACTTATGGTACCAACAGACATACACAAGTATGATGTGGGGCTGGAGAAGAAAAACAGATTGCCCCCAATCTTTTGAAAGAGTTAAAGGAAAACTCAAAAGACAGATTTATCAAACGTGGAATGTATGTACCTAGTAATTTTGTTAAAGAAACCGAGAACAATTTTATTTGCCCCTTACCTACCATTAGAGGAAAATTACGCAACTGAGGTATTCTGTGGAATGTATTAATTTTTTGGAAGTTAAAATTAACAATAGAACTATGAGATTCACACCACAAAAGAGCATCTTTAATTTAGCAGGCCATCTGATAAGGCAACTTGTAACAGGGCTTCCTGGAACCAAAACATAAACAGTAAAGTTGACAGATTATACTAAACGATTTACAGAAATAAGTGCCAAGATGTCATTTTCTAGCCATTATATTTTTCTTAAAAATGTTGCTTTTCTAAGCTACCATGTAGGAAATATTAAAGTCAAAATAGACACTCTGATAATAACATCACCACTATTCAACTAGGTTTCAAGGTATATTCAGTTGCCTTGCTTGTTTTCCTTTCTCAAAAGTAAAATGATAATGAAAGGTGAGTAGTTAGCAGTAACTGAATCATTTCTAAAATTTTGGAATGTTGGGTTATTTTCTTTTTTCGGTAAAAGGAAATGAATATTACAATGAAAGATGTCAAGACAAAAAGATTTCTGTAAGAAAATATTATTTGATGAGTGTTACAAAGAAAAACAACTCCATTAGTTGTATGGGCTGTAATGATATCAACACTTACAGATGAAGGGGATTTCATCTGTTACAACTCAATATTATCATTTTGGAGGAAAAGATCCCCCATGACCGATTTGCAGTACAAGGTCCTAGAGTTAAGATCGCTCTTCTTTCATTTTGATGTCTAACAGTGTGTTACTTTAATTTTAATTGCAACATATGGCACAGATGAGAATCACTCTGGCACGGAGGGGTTTTAAGATCCTTTGCAAACAATATGTTCAACAGTGAAACCAAGGATGAGTATTAGAAAATGTTACTGTACAGAGGTGATAGTAGTTTGGTTAATGTAAAAGGACCAGAGACCTCAAAAATAGCTTAGAAAATGGGAAAATTAGTTTGACCTTACCAAAAGATTTCCTGCAAGGACATTTTTATACACGTTAAATATAATTCAAAATATTTCCATCAATTTTTAAATAATAGCTTTACCCTTCCACGAGATGAGTATTTCTATAAAGATTTTATATTCAATCAAAAATGTTACAAATACATTTGTATCTCTTCATCAGAGTACTAAGGGCACATTTTTAGGGAGATACAGAAATCAGGAAAAGCTGCCGAACATTAAGATGATGTGAAGCTGACCTCTATTTCCCATTTCAGTATTATGTCTTTTAACAAAGTTATGCATGTTAGTGTTTTCTTAGCAAGTATATGTCAACATTAAATGGAATACTCTGTCCCTGGTTCTGTATTCCCACGTATTTTCATTTGGAACAATTTATCCATTCTGAGCACTACGGCTGAACCTGGTCTTTCTAGGCTTCTTGGGAAAAGGTTCCCAAAGTCTGCAACTCACAACACCCACCTCTGACTTTATGTTTGCCAGTCAGTGTGAACTGTGTCCACACTTAGGCATACTGAGGCACTTGCAGTTCCCATGTAGAGTTCTTAAAAGGACCTGTTAGGGTACCAGGGCCAAAATGATGAATTTTACCCTGCGTTTGTAAAGATCTCAGTTCCTTCTACCTAGTGTGTTCCTCAACAGCCCATCCATTCCAAGGCCCTTGGCACTTCGTTTCCAGGTGTACCCAACAGAAACTGAAAACAACTGATTCTCTTCGGGGTCTGTTCAATCCAACAGGACAATTCCTAGCCTGGGAATCACTTTCAGGTAGAAACCTGACAGTGGTCGTGACTGGCCCCAAAGTGTGCTTTCTCTGAATAAATCCTAAAAAGAAAGAGGCTTAGGTTTCAATCTTTTTTTGGCCGTGACAAAGATCTTCCTATCACTTCAACCTTGAACGGGTATCTCCATTTTTATGCAAGATAAAAATAATTACAAATAATTAGTTCTAAATAAAAAGCATCTAGTTCTGAATTACTTATTTTCAACTAAACATCCAAGCATGTAAAATAATGTATAATACTATGAAGTATCTGAACATGGCTTTCCATGAAGAAACTGGAAAATAGATATTCAACATAAATCAGGTGAGTTTAACGTCCCTTTGAAAAGTGTGATACAAGAAAGAGAGAGCTACTGAAAGATTCTGGCTTGCTTTCTGGCCTCCTTTACTTTCCTTCAAAGGGACACCAGGAAGAATCCTCCCGGATTTCCGTTGCTTGATCATTGTGCTCTTGTGCTTGGCTGGGGCTGGAACTATGCGCTCTCCTTTGGTGGCTGGGTGGCCTGCGGTGGTGGCTGCAGTGGCTGGGTGCCTGTGGCTGTTTTGATAGAGTTCAGGGTTTTGCTAAACCAAGAGTTTTTTGCAGCCTGGATTTCATTCATAAGGGCTCCTCTCTGATGTTCAAGTTCCTAATTAGGGAAAGAAAATCATCTGAGTTATGTAAAGGTTTGCTTTCTGTCTGCTGATGAACATTTAAGAGCCCAGCTTTTTGGTCTATGCAGCCATAGTTTTCCTCCCAGAAGACCCAGGAGAGACTTAATTGGCTTCTTTCTAAAAAGAAAAAAATTTAGAGCTAAAGGAGTTACCACTAAAACCCAGAATCTGTGCTTTCTTTGAACGTGAAATGAAATATCATTTTATTCTCCCCTCCCCTCCATAATTTATGTCTAAATTTAGGTTTAGGTTGTAATCTGAGATAAAGGTGGCTTAGTGTTTAAAGCCACAAATAAACTTAGGGACGGATTTAATTTTTACTGATAGTTTAACCATGAATAAGTTCCAAAGACGTGCCCTTTGTCCTTGAGAATGTATAACGTCCAGAGAGAACATGGTTAAGGACAGCTAGTGTGGCGCAGGCTGGTACCACGGCAGGAGAGCGATGATGCGTAAGGATCACTGGGTAAAAAGGAAATGAGGAACAACCATAAGAAGCCAGGACTATTTTTCTGATCATGTTATCCTCCAATGTAGAAACGAAACTACGGGAAAGGGATTTGGCAGAATCAGCTAAAGATGATAAGAAGCTCCCAAGAGAAAAATAGGTGTCAGTCAATGTTCAACTGTCAGGGCTATGGCCAGCAGAGGAGATTTGACTGCAGAAAGCAAAGATGAGGAGAGTAAAGGGCCTTTCATCTTCAGGATCAGCTACAAAGCGACCAAGTTCAATGACAAGGGTCTTTAGCAAAAAAAATGCCAGGGTTAACGAAAAAAGCAAATTTTTGCAAAATATAATTATTATAATTTACTTTAAAATTAGGTGTTTGTTTATATCAGTGCTTAAAAATATAGAATGGAAAATGTGATTATGCAAAACATATTAATGGACAGAAAATGTATTAATCATACATTTGTCACATCTTAACGATTCAGAGCTAGATAGGCATATTCTAAAGTACTAGAATACCCCGGACCACTAACTGTTTATTTTTTCTTATTGACCTTTTATCAGATCACCAACCTGGATTTTACACTTGGCCTCCACCAACTGCAGTTTGGTTTGTGCCAATTCCAGCTCCATCTCTCTCAGCTGCTTCTTAAGCAAGTCCTTCTCATCATCCGTATCGATTCCCTGGTTCTCCCTGCTTATGGCAGCTAGTTTCAGAGCGCCCTCCTTGCTGAAAAGGTCACTGCAGTGTTTGCATGCCATCATTTTACCCTGAAAGATCCAAAAGAGAGAACCAACATCAAACTGCATTTCAAAGGAAAAATCACTTCCAGAAACAATATGATATGATTTTTATTAGGATGCTGCTTATTGTCAACAAATGCAGGACCCAGTTCTGAAGGTAATTATTTCTTTTGTGCTACAACCAAAACTGTTAGTCAGCACAAACCCAATTATCCAAGATAGGTGCTCCTTTTTCTTCAAGTATGTCTAAAAAGAGGGTATTATAGCATCTCTCTGAAATCTGTTCTAGAAATTTTGTTTTACCATTTATTGGGTCCTTTCTAGATGTCAAGCCCCATGCCATATGCTGCACATGCAGTATCTCATTCAATCCTAGAGCAACTGTATGAGTAGGTACTATTACCACCTGTTTTTATAAATGAAAAAACTCATATAGAGTTTAAGTAAGTTGGCTATATGTAGTAGACTGAGGAAAGTCATTATGACTAATCTTGACCTATAAATAAAACAAATAAAGTACATGTTTTTTGGTCAGCTTTTAAGTAAAAATGATCATTATCGTTCAAGGTAATACAAGTAACTCTACCACATGCCTGGATTGCCAATCAAGCACACAGCATTGAACAGTAGCAACTCTTTTCAAGACAAAGGTGCTGTTGTTTTCTTAAAACTCCAAAAAGAGTTTAGTGACACAATATTTTTACTTTGATGTTCTACTGCATCCATTACTATAACTATACATCTCTCTTTTCCCAAAACATCTCTCTACCACACTTCTGTGTCACTGTCCAGGTCTCCACCATTTAGGCCTAAAGATTTTGGTGTCATCTTTTTATCAGCTTCTCCTTTATCCCATGTCCAGCTGGTCATTGGCTCCAGCCAACCTCAATTCTTCCTCTGACATGTCCAAGCTCTTGGCCTGAGTCCCTAACATTCATCTCAGCTCTACTCCCACCAGCTTCTTTCTTACCCAATCCATACTCCACTTAAAAAAATTCTTGTTACTCTCTTACTTAAGAGCCCAAAAGAATAATTAGCCCAATACTGGCACAAAATAGACACACAGTAAACACCTTTTGAAGGAATGACTGGATAAAACGTTAAAGAAATGGCTTTAAAAAATATATATATAGATAATCTTTGTTGTTGTTGTTGAGAATATACACAGCAAAACATACACGAATTCAACAACTTCTACACGTACAATTCAGTAACACAGATTACATTCTTTGAGTTGTCCAACCATTCTTATTCTCCCTTTCTGAGTAGTTTCTCCCCCATTAACATAAACTCACTGTCCCCTAAGTTTCCTATCTAATCTTTCAAGTTGCTGTTGTCAATTTGATCCCATGTAGATCTTAAAAGAATATAATGCTCAAGGCAGACATTCTTTACTAGTTAAGCTAAACTATTGTTTGGATTTAAGAAGACTTCAGGGGATAATTTTGGTTTGAGGTTTAAAAATTATCTCAGGGTAATAGTTTCAGGGGTTCATCTGGCCTCCATGGCTCTAGAAGTCTTTTGATCTGAGTCTTAAATGATTAAAAGTTTACCAACCTGGGTAAAAAGCCTTATTAGGTTGAAGAATATGAAGTAATAGATCTCACAAGATGGAGGAGAACATTTCAGCAGAGGGAGCACTGTGTGCAAAAACAGAAAGCCTTCACAACTGCAAGGAGTTTGAAATGGCTCAGGCAGAGAGTAAGAGATGCAACAGACAGGGGTAAGACATGAGATCAGACTCCTTGGTGGCCAGGTTGTAAAGATCCTTAAATACCACACTACTAAATCCTGATTGTATCCTATAGAAAATTCATTCACTCTCTCCACAAGCCCTGTGCTACATGCTTGACATAGAGCAGTAAGCCTCAAGGAGCTGCAGCTGGGGCAGACATGCTGAAGTAATAAAGTGTGGCAGATTGCTGGTTCCCACCAAACATAGTTTTTCCTTCTTCTTTAGTAAGAGAACCCTGATTTTATTTGGGCTGGCAGAAAAAAAAAAAGAGAGAGACATTTTCAGATAAAAGGCAGGTAACAATCAAGTTCTGATATGTAAGCAAAGTATGGTATGGGACTTCTAAGAAGGTTGCTTAGAGACAGCTCACCCAAGTGGAGGTAGGCCCTTGTCCCTTCTACTTCCTTCTGGCCTAAAATTTTGCCCTAGAGCATGGGTGTGATGGTAGAAGCTCTGGTTAGTTGAGGATGTGGGTCACTGATAACTGATGAGCTTGGGTCACTGACAACATCAAGGATCTACCTTTCTAGTCCTGGACTTGTTTTACATGAGATAATAAACCCCTTTTGTGTTTAAGCCAATACTATTTCGGGTTTCTATGACAGGTGGCCAATCTAATTCTAAACAGATACACATAATAGAATAAAATTTATGCTTGGCAATGCTCATTCTGATTAAAGTATGGAGGATGAACTGGAGGGTGATGATATAGGAAGCTGGAAAAACTGTTTGAAGCTGATCGCATTATAACAAGCAAGAGATGAAGAAGAAGTAGCCCTGGAGAGAGAGGAGGCAGTACAGTGTAACAGTGAAGAGTATGGACTTTAGGGGAAATTTAACACCAAATGTGGGTGAAATGTGTACAACCTGACCAAGGTAAATGATGTCACTAAGAAGCATGCAAGAAAAAAGGATGTTTTGGCTAAATGCTACGACATATACCACTGTGCAATGACATGTGTATGTATGTATGCATACAAATGTGTAAGTATGTATATGTGTATATATATAGGCATATATAGATGTATCTACATGCAGGTGTATATATATGTAAGTGTATGCATCCATATATATTCATATATACAATAAAGCACATAGGGGGCACAAACATGGATACTTCTTACGCTAATCGAACACCTTGCAGGATTGGTTTATGGGATCTGAAGGCTTAGGACCATAATCTTATGGGAAAACTCAATCAACTGGCATAATATAGTACCTAAGGTTTATGTTCTACATCCTACCTTGGTGAGCAGCATCTGGGGTCTTAGAGGCTTGCAAGTGGCCATCTAAGATACAACTATTGGTCTCTACGCATCCAGAGTAAAAGAGAAAGAAAGAAACCAAAGACTCAGAGAAGAAACTAGTCCATAGGACTAACAGTCTACATGAACCAGGACCTCATCTACCCTGAGACCAGAAGAACTAGATGGTGTCTGGCTACCACTACTGTCCATTCTGATCAGGAACACAATAGATGGATCCTGATAAAATGGGAGCAAGACGTGAAACAGAACTAAAATTCTTAAAAAGTCCAGAACTTACTGGACCAGTAGAGACTGGTTGAGACTGGAGGACTCCCCCAAGACTATCATCCTGAGATACTCTTTAACCCTTTGGTGGCCCAGTTATTTTCTGCTTTGAATTTTTTGTTGATACCATGTGTTTTCATTAATGGAAGCATGCTGAATCATTGAGTGTATCTGAATTTTTTGTAGGTAGTATGGATTTTTTTTCTTGCCCCTCCCACAAGCCTGCCCTAAGTGTTTACTGGTATATTTCAGTACAATTATACCTCAGAGTCCCCATGGGGGCCTATTGGTATATATGTGTAACGAATAAAAATTTTCAAAATTTCTATTTTTCCTACCAAAAATGTTGACACCTCGTACAATACCCAGTAAAAACAGTTATTTGCAGCATATGCCCATTTCTTTGGTTTCAAACAGTCATTAAGGCTCCTGCCTTGTGGCAGCAAGACTGTCAGTGGTACAGCAACTTCCCAATAAACCCCAGAGGCTGAAAAAGTTCATGGTTGCTATATGTACTGCTGGGCACAAAGGTTAAAACTTGAAGCAAAACTATTCCATGAGGTCATCTTTTAGCTAAATAACAGATTGGTGCAAAAAATAAACACTAACATCCATGAGTACTGTGCTCCTCTAAAAAATCATCTGTATGAGACCAAATGGTCAACATCTACTCAAAAGCAGATAAGAAGGCAAGGGAGCAGGGAAACTAGATTACTGGAAATGGAACAACCAGAACAGAAATAATGAAAAGGTTGACACACTGGGAAAAATGTAACCAATGTCACTGAACAAATTGTGCAGAAACTGTTAAACAGGAACCTAATTTGCTGTGTAAACTTTCACTGAAAACACAATACATATTTTAATTTTATACATATATATATATATATCTATATAAATATAAAGAGTAAGGACTTTAGAGTGTGACTCCCTGGGTTCAATCCTGACTCTACTGCTAACAAGCTATGTAATCTTGAGCAAATTAATTACCTGTTTTGGGCTCATCATCAATAAAAAGAAAATATAATACTGTCTATTTTCTTGGGTGGAACCCCTAGATGGTGCAAATGGTTAAGAGGTGGACTACTAATCAAAAGGCTGGCAGTTCAAATCCACCCAGAGATGCCTCAGAAGAAAGGCCTTGTGATCTGCTTCCAAAAGGTCACAGCCTTGAAAACCCTAAGCAGTAGTTCTACTCTGCACACATGGAGTCACCATAAGTCAGAATCGACTCCACAACAAGACCAACAGGATTTTCTAGGACAGTTTTGAGAGTCAAATGGGATAATATTTGTAAAGTCTTAGAATGGTGCCTAGCACATAATAAGTGCTTAATAAATGTTATTTGTTTTTCTTATTCTTTATTCCAACTAGAACATTAGTTCAAACTCCTCTTCCTCAACATCATGGCTTTTCATTAGGTAGTCCCACCTACTTATCCAATATTTTCCTCTATTCCTTAACACACACTCTAATCACATCAGTCTCCTTAATGACATAATGATATGCTCATTCCTATTTCTGGGTCTTTACTCATGCTGTTTCTTCCAGAATGTTCTTCCTCTCTAAACAAATTCTTTCTCTCTATACAAATTCTACCCATAGTTCAAGAAGCAGCTTTAGTCCCACCTCCTCCATAAAGCCTTCTTTGACCTGTCGCTCTGATTTTGCTTTCTCTACAATTCTGTCAGTGTCATCCAACTCAGCACTCACTTACATGCTCTTGAACTGTTTTCTAAATGTTTCATGTGCCCATGATGTACAACCTGCTCCTGTAGGAAAATTCTAAGCTCCTTGTCACATGTAATTTCTGTAAAAAAAAAAAAAAAAGGCAGTCTAACGGCTATGCAAATAGTAGATGCTCAATAAAACCTTTATAGTGATTGATAACAATCCTTGTTTCATTTTTATTTCCATAAAGATTTTAGTTGAGGATAACTAATACCTTTATACCAAAACACTATCAGCTGAGTCTTGGTCTCTGTGTTCTACAATGCACAAAGAATGATAAATGATGAGTAGAAAGAGGGGCAAAGTAGACCAGAAAGGAAAGGCATGAAGCAAAAATTTTAGCAGGTTTGGGGAAGGAGCCCAACATTCCCATACTCACTAATAATCTGAGGCTTTAAAACATTAAATAAGAAAAAAGGTGCATTTTTTGGATATAAGGTCAGAACAAGGTTCATATTTTCAGTTCCCATACCTCAGGCTTTCAGATTATAGCTTATAAAAATGGATAATATTTATTGAACATTTATTATGTGCTAGGTACTAAATTAAGCAGTTGCCATCAAGTTGATTCCGACTTACAGAGACCCCATGTAATACAGGTAGTCCTTGACTTACAATGTGTTCGAGTTACCACAAACTGCACTTAAGACTGTCCTTTTTTTGTACATCTCATCGTTAGTAATATGTACTACAAACAGTGTTGCAATGCAAAATGTGCTGAGGTTGTCATTCTCATGCCAAACCCCAAAGACAAATAAAGATGGGATATATAAAAATACTGATGATAAAAGGCAATAATAACCAAAAAAAAAAAAAGGTATTCGACTTACATCAGAACCAACTTACGACAGAGTCATCAGAACAGAACCCCGTCATAAGTTGGGGACTACCCATATACCTGATATCATTTAATCTTCAAATTGATCTTATGAGGCTGGCAATATCTCTATTTTACAGAAGAGAAAATTAAGTTCAGAGAAGTTAAATAAATTGTCCAAATTTTCAAATGATATGCTAAATTGCCTGGGGCACATTTATTTACTAGTATGAAAACAAAATATACTCAAATAGAAAGATGTCAGGCATCTGTAATACTCATCCCAAGAGGTGACTGTGCCAACACTGCCTCCTAAGAATAATACTGATCCATTTGGTTTACCGCTGATTCTACAGAATAAGCAATCCTTGCAAATAAAGCATCAACATAAGATTTACCACCAGGGGGCAGCATATAAATAAATGCTACAAGGTCTCTTTCAAAACAAACCTCCTCTTATAATTTGGTGGAAGAAATCAGTCAGTTACTAAATTCAAGTTTCCCAGCCAAGTTCTAAGTTCCTCATGCTGTTTACTGTTCAAGTGAGTGATGGGATGATTCTACTGAATCCTAAATTGAAGCCACATCAATTCAGGGACAGCTAGATGTAGGATGCTGCGGGCTCCCAGGTTTCCATATCAAAGAATAGAACAAAGTGACATGACTTCAAGGCCTCTTATGACCACAGTTGATTCCTAACACACCTTCCTACTACCTGCCTCTGACAGCCCATCCCACTTTATGAGCACATAGCCTTTCAGCTGGGAGAGAAGAGGGCCACACTCATGTTAGAACAGAGGTACACTATTCCCCAGGCAGATGGAGAACATGATGTCTATAAACTATACTACTAATGTGGAAGCAGCATGTAATAGGATCTTCCAATCAGGTACTCACTAAGTCTGTGTGAATTGGGGAGATATTATATCACAGAGCTATCTCACTCTTCCTTACCTTTACCACTTCCAGCTCTTCCTTGCTGGCTGCCTGCTGTTTCTCCAGCCTAGTACTTAACTGAGAACAGATCTAAGGGAAAGAAAGAAAAGAGAGTTCCATTACTAGAAAATAGAACGATTCTTGCAGCATGTGCTCATAACTGTTTATCAACTCATATATATTAGTCTAGCATCTTGGATCATTGAACAAGTTTTGCAAATGAGCAGCAGTGAAAATGCCAGTCACATCTGCAATGAGCAACAGAAGCCCAGAGGGTTCCATGGTAAAGCACATCTCTATGTCAATTGATAGAAAGAGATACAGGATAGATTTGGTTTCCTTCTGTCCAGTTTCGTGACCAGTTCCAATAAATTCCTGGTCTCACCTTGGAATCTATCTATAGAATCTTCGCTGAGTATCTGCTTTGTGCAAGGTACTATACTGGGGATCTAATGAAAAGAATTCTGAACCAGATACGTTTCTTGTCTATGGTCACAGAAGTTTCCTTAAGAAGCAGTAGTGTGAATCAAACAAAGTTAAAATGGTTAAAACATAACACAGACTGAAACTATTACCACGTTGTCTGGCAGCATAGCATATAAATTCAAAGCTTAGGTGCTGGAGTTTAAAACTGGTCCAGCTTCTACTATTTTCTAGCTGTGTGACCTTGGGCAAATTCATTAATTTTTCTAAGCCTTAGTTCCCTCATGTGTGAAAAGTGTTGTGCTGTGACAACCAAGTGAAAAATATTATGTAAAAGATAAGTACTGTTCCTGGTCCATAGTAAGTGCTCAGGAAACAAGGTCTATTATTATTATTATTATTGGTTCTGAAATAAGGTACTAACAAGTACTAGGAACAGGTCAAAAATAAGTGATTTCAAAGCAGAAAAACAAATTTCCGTTTAAAAAATATTGAACGTTCAAGTCTACTGACTGAAATAGGAATCATTTATTTTAGAAAAACTAAAGAAAAATGGTTAGGGAATGGCAAATTTTAAAAGGGCAAATTGGGCTAAAATCTTATGTAGTCTACTTCTATTATCAAAATAGACTAAAAAAAAAAAATTCCAGTATACTCAAAAATAGCTCTAGAAACCAGAGCCCATTTGTTGAGTTCAGTCACCAATTTCTCCAGATCCAAACCTGGGGAACAATTGATAGGACTGTAAATTATTAATTAATTAATTTAATAGAACTGTAAAAAGAAGCAATCTCTCTACTAGCTTTTTCGAACATATACCCTTTTAAAATAAACCAAACCAGTCTGAAATACAGCCAATAATAGCCAACTCCAACTGTAAAATGCATTTAGATTAAACTTTAAATTCTAATTATCGTCAAACAGATGGGTCTGTTGCCTTTTACACTACTTGAAGTGTTTGCCAGGTAATATTCAAGAATAGTCCCAAGGATTACTATTTGAAGAGTGCCACATACGGTGGCCAACCATGGCCTAATGTGACAATGAAGAAAAAATGCATTTGCACAAAGCGCATGTCTTTAACTTTCCTTGTGTTGGTTAATGTCTAACCATTCCTTCTCCTACTTACCCAAATTCAAAACCTCAAGGTCACTTTCAGTGATTTCCCTTGTCTAGCAAGAAATGACCACCTTCTGCTTCTCCCTCTTCTCCATATTCACTGTAATTTACTTTAGTTCAGAGCCTTATTTCTTCTCACCTGGACGCTGGTGTTGGCCTCTTACTGGTCTGGTCCATGTCCTTGCCCATGGATCTCTCCACTTGGTTCCACAATCCTCAACGGGACAGATTAATGCCAATACTATGTCTCCAACCATGCCACTCTCCTGCTGAGCAATTCCTACAGCCTTACAGAATAAAATCCAAACTTCTCAGCCTAGCTCTGAAGACCTTTCTCGATCTGGGCCCCAACTCACCTTTTCTTCTCTTCTGTACTCGAAACTCTTGCCAAAACAAACTTGTTTCTGATTATTAACCTACCTCCTTGCCTTTTACACATGCTGTTGCCCTTCTTCCATCATCTCCTCATCTCCTTCTCCATCTCCATCTATCCAAATCTCATCTAGCCTTGATCACAGCTGAAGTCATCCCTTCTCCAGGGTCTCCTCATTTCCCACAACTACTAAGTTCCCTTTCCGCTTATTATGCAAGGTGTTATCTCCCCATTACAGTATCAGCTTCTAGAGGAGAGAAATTGACTCAAACTACTTCATCTTTTTGTTGTCCAAAGTATCAAGCCTTGCACGTAGTAGGCATTAAATAAACATTTGTTAATTATTATAAAAGAGTGAAACAGCTCTGGAGCCTTATTTTTAAGCAATCTTTCACGAAGGTGAGGAACCCTTATGAAAAAATGTTGATAATATATGAAGTGAACTAAAGTTAGTTCCAAAAAATAGCATAAACAATAACTGACATTTTTATTTACCATATTTTTACACAAACAACATGTGCCTTCTGTGTTTGTTTGCCACGCACCCTCCCGTTGTGAGATATTGTCGTAAGTGCTGCTGTGCCAATTTTTTTTTACATGTTGCTGTAAAAAAAATTAGCATCACATGCTTATGAAAATACCTTGCAGGGCGAGGGCACGGTTGGCAAACAAATGTAGAAGGCGCGCATTATTTGTGTAAAAATACAGTATATAGCAACAGTGTATATTCAATATATTACCTCTAGTTGGCAAGATTAAGGGAGGCTTGTTTTCTTTGTGTTTTTTTACACTTTTCTAATTTTCTACAAGGAGCCCTGGTGGCACAATGGTTAAGTACTCTGCTGCTAACCTAAAGGTCGGTGGTTTGAACCCACGAGCTGCTCCGGGGGAGAAAGATGTGGCAATCTGCTTCCATAAAGGTTACAGCTTTGGAAACCCTATGGAGCAGTTCTACTCTGTGGGGTCACTCTGAGTCAGAATCAACTCCACAGCAATAGGTAACAGGTAATTTTCTACAGTGAACATAAATTTAATTGCAAGGAAGAAAAACATTTAAAACAACAACAACAAAACAGTGAGCATCAGACTTCAAACTCCTATATGAGGCAGGAGACCCAAGGGAAATCCTTGGATCAGAAGATGGTGTAGGGTGCTGTTAATTCTAGAAACCTGGAAGTTGATCACTCAAGGGTCTCTCAGGGATGGCAGGATTCCTTACCATTGGAGCTGGGATGAGAGCTTTCTGGGACCACGCTGGAGATAGGGTGAGAAACATCCTCACAAAACAATTTGTGTATAAATTCTTTAATAAGAAACTAATTTGTGTTATAAACTTTCACCTAAAGCATAATAAAATTAAAACAAAAAAACCCTGCAATTGGGGGCAGGGGGGAAACATCCTGAAGGACCCAGAGCTCTCCTTTGAAGGGCATTGTCCAGTGTATGATAGAAAGTTTCCTGCTAGTGGTGCTTGCAGTGGGTAGCACCACACAGCCATGTGGGAAAGAGGGCTCTACAGTCTGTACTGAGACCGCAAAGGATAAATTGATCCCTTAGCTATTAATATAGTCAGTAAACTTTACTCCTTGGCAAAGAGGTAAATCGTACTATTGTGATCTATTGGAAATTAACTTCTGATCAGGACAGAGACAGGATCTCAGTGGCAATAAGAAGTCTCCAGTCCCTTCAAATCTACCAAACATTGTAAACAACCAACAATTGCTTTGATCAATTAGACCTCCCAGTTAAAAGCAAGGATGTCCAATCACTGTCTGTCTCAGAGGGAAGAGTGAGCCACCAAATTTAATGAATCTATTTCACTGTTCTGGAAATTCTAATCATAAAAATGTCTCTTCCTCAAAGAAAAATAAAAACAAAAAAAATAACTTCTATAGCAACAAAAACCACAGTGGCATATTACCTGTTTATACTCAGCAATGATAGCTGTAGTTTTCTTTATTTCATATTCTGCCTTCTCCAGCTGTTTCCTGAAGACTTCTTTTAGCTAGAAAGAGTGAGAATGAGAAACATCAGGATTCAGCCAAAATTTAATTTTTTAATTTTTTTTTTCTATTGTACTTTAGATGAAGGTTTACAGAACAAACAGTTTTCCATTAAACTGTTAGTACACATACTGTTTTATGACATTGGTTAACAACCCCACGACATGTCAACACTCTTCCTTCTCGATCTTGGGTTCCCTATTACCAGCTTTCCTGTCCCCTCCTGCTTTCCAGTCCTTATCCCTGGGCTGTTGTGCCCCATTAGTCCCTTTTTGTTTTATGGGGCTGTCTAATATCTGTCAGCCAAAATTTTAATAAATTTTGACAAACATATATATTCAAGTCTGCATGATTCATAGTCAACGACAATGTTAACAACTATAACTGTATAGAAGAAGCCCTGGTGGCGCAGTGGTTTAAGTGCTAGGCTGCTAACCAAAAGGTCAGCGGTTCAAACTCACCAGCCGCTCTGAGGGAGAAAGATATAGCAGTCTGCTCCCGTAAAGATTTATACAGCCTTGGAAACCCTCCAGGGCAATTCTAGTCTGTCCTATAGGGTCGCTATGAGTTGGAACTGACTCGACAGTGATGGGTTTAGGTTTTTTTTTGGATAACTATATAGAATTTCCCCAACGAAGTTACATCCTGATAATTTGAAAAACCTAATCATTTCCAAAGATGCAGAAATCTTACTCTTTTTTCTCTGACAATTATAAGACATATGGAATCTTATTATAAAACTGCTTATGCTAAGTATTTATCTTATTAACATATTATTAAGTATTCATTGAATCTTTATCCTTATAGGAATCTAAAAACATCAAGGCAACTTGCATGCTACATTTGTTACTCTAGATGTTATATTATCAACTACTAGAAAAGAAAAATGTAGGCCTTTTTATTCATAGTCTGCTACTGCCGCTGCTGTTACTTCTCCTAAGGTAAGAAAAAGAGGCTTTGAGGACTGGAGTCAGAAGAAGGTGAAGACAAGAGCTCTTGGTAAGGACAGGAGATTCAGGGTCCAAAGAGAGTGACTTTAAAAGAAGCTAAGGTTACACATAATGCAGGTACTTGTTATGGCCATTAAATGTTAAATTATAAGTGCATACGCAGAACCACAGCTATTTTTGTGGCCCAGCACCTCTAGAATTCTAGGTACAAGGGAAGGTTACGGTGATGAAAAAACTCAGGCGCCAGCAGATAAAAAGGAAAGAATTCAATTCCTCCAAATTTTTGAACAAATAATCAATCAAACAAAAACTAACTCTGCTTAACCTTTAAGTACATAATCAGAATAAACAGATGAATTCTACATCTCAGCATCCTAAATTATTAACAGGGTGTACTCTCTACTTGCTAATTCATAAGTTACTATAATTTATAATTGAGTTCTTTATCATTAGGAGATTTCTAAAATATCTTTATATCTGCTACATTCTAAAAGCAATTGGTAGGTTATACTTATTCAAACTTAGTTGCTTATATTTATATAGTCTCTATTCTCTAGTTTACATAATTTGACATAAACAATAACTTTCTTGTAATAATGCCCCCATTGACTTCAGGACAGGCTTAGCTAGCTGAGAGACTTTGAGCAGGTCTCATTTAATTTATTTAAGCCATAGTTTCCTCATCTGACAAATGAGAATTCCTGCCTCATAAGGGCATAATAATGGAGGATATATGTATACGGAGAATGCAAAGCTTTTTGGATCGTTTTTGCCAGGTACTAGTAAGTGTTCAGCAAATGTCCCATTCCTTCCCATTTTAGGTATCAGTACTCAAGGGCAACTATATGTCTGTGGAACCATGGAGCAGGTAGAGCATGGGTAACTAACATTCATTTGATAAGAGCTTTGATCTCCACCTAAAGTCCTGATGTAGCCCAAAGAAGTAAAGAGGTAAAGAAAAACAAAACAAAATAAAAACCACCAAGAGGCCTAGATAATCAAAAAACTAGCTAGTCAACCCCTGAAAAATTTTGAGTTGGTAAAAAAAAATATTGGGCCATATAGTAAATGCCAATGATTCAGTTCATCATTTTCTAATGGGAGAAAAAAATCACTAAATACTTTGTATAATCCATGGAAGGTGCTAAATGACACATCCCTCCTTCACGTTTAAGTTTATTGGAACATTTTCTGGTTTCTTGGATATGGACCTTTGAAATGCTTTGTTCTCTGTTATACATTTAGTATTACTGATGTCTCAGAATAAAACTCATTAAAATAAATGAGTTAATAATCATGATTTAAGAAGGTTCTTCACTTTATTAGTTACATTAGTAAAATTCAAATAAGCTCTTGGCAGTGGCCTTCACTCGGTTTTGAAGAAAATCTAATCTGTGTCAGCCCCCTAGCTGGTGCTGACAGGGATGGAGAACATTGGTGAAGCCACCTGTTCTTCTTAGACAAACAGAAAGTTCCAACCGCTTGGGCTGAGAGGCCCCTCCTATCACTATTCTACAGTCCTTTGTAATGGTGTATCTTCCAGCTGATTAGCCTCGAAATTCATATGCAGACTGTCGGGTGCTAGCTTCAAGGCTGGTTCCCAAACGGTTTCTTTTTATACTCCCAGGGAATAGAAGGTTTGAGTGCTCTGCCAGGAACATTGGTGCTTCTTCCAAGGCACAAGCCAGGAAAATTAAGCGTGACTGATTGAGGCAGAGGCTATCTGGCAACTCCCAGCAGAGATCTCCGTAGGCTTTGAGCTTAACAGTCCTCATAAACTACTTCAGAGAAGTCAATAATCTTGGAGATACAACATGAAATTCGCAGACTTGTCAAAGCTCTTGGATCATAATTCTAAGTTACTAAACTTAGAGAAAACTCAACACTCTTGCTAGACATCTCAGCTAAAGCAAACTCCTAAGAGCTGTTCAAGGGTAGAAAGGCTGCCTCCTCTTCTAACACCCTTCAAGAGAAGTTGTCAAGTCTCATTGCTACTAACATTTACTGCTTCCACTTACCCTTGGTTTAGAATAAATTATTTTACTTCTTGTTTATTTTATGATATTAATCCTCTCTCCCTATCAATATACCTGTGTAAAGAAAAGCCCACAGTTGCCTTTTACCTGGGCAGTTTCTTCCTCTTGCTTCCTCTTTTCTTCCTCAGTCTCCACCAGCCTCTGTTTGGTCAGGAGGAGTTCCTTATTCAATACATCTGCCTTGTCTTCTGCCTGCAAAAGAGGGCATGACACAGCCTAAACAGGGTGAAGAAAGTATATATATACTTTCTCCAAACCAATCACAGGCTTCAGTTATTGTTCCAATATTACCGTAAGCCATTCTTTTCCCTCCTAGCTCGCCCAGGGGGTGACCGCTTTCATTGAATGCCAACTATACCAGGCACTTTGCATAGATTATCTCTAATCCTCACAAGAATAATTATTTTACAGATAACAAAAATGACGTTTGGAGAGATTAAATAACCTGCCTGGGGTCACATATCTAATATCAGAGCTGTGATCTGAGTATAAATTTGAATGACATCAAAGCCCCTGCTCTTTCTAAATGCCTCTTATACATTTCCCTCAGATATCACAACAGCATTCACTCTGAGGCTATGTAGATGGATCTGATGAATGAGTAGAACCTCATATAGAAGCTTCTGGACAGTGGTGCATGGGGGTGGATTCAGAGAGTCTAAGTAGACAAGCTGATTAATGGACAACAGTTAGGTGAGAAAATTCATAGACCAGCTGAGGTAAACTGACCCACAAGCCACTCACACAGGACAGCAAGTACAGTGAGGAAAAACTAAGAGCAGAAACCAGTGGCACAGATGGCCGTGAGAAAACCTGAAGTATGGATCATGAATCCAGACAGAAAAGACTGTATTTCTAGAATGGCCAGAGAGAGTACTCTGGTTTTAACTTAAATGCAGAGACAGAATTAATGATGAAAGCACTGTCTGTATATTTAACTTCACTATGTCTCACGTACTTTGGACATGTTATCAGGAGGGACCAGTCCCTGGAGAAGGACATCATGCTTGATAAAGTAGAGGATCAGTGAAAAAGAAGAAGACCCTCAATGAGATAGACTGACACAGTAGCTGCAACAATGGGCTCAAACATAGCAACGATCGTGAGAATGGTGCAGGACTGGGCAGTGTTTGGTTCTATTGTATGCAGGGTGGCTATGAGTCAGAACCGGCTTGACGGCAACAAACAACAACAACCTGTGTGTATTTCACAGTTTAGGCCTCTCACCTCATCCTTTATATCTTAGCTTCAAGTTCACTTCGTCAGAGCAGCATTCCCTAAGCCCTGCCCCACTCACTCTCATCTAAATTAGTTCCCTTGTTTAAGTCATATTTTCCTTGATAGCACTTAGCACCATCTGTAATGACAAATTACATGTGTAATTGATTTGTCTTGCCCACTAGACTGCAAACTCCAGGAGGCAAGGACCAAGGCTCTTTTGCTCATCACTATATCCCCAGCACCAAGCGTAGTGCCTGGCACAGAGTGGACACTCCTGTATTTGGGGAGTGAATGGATGTAGCTCTCTGAAGTCACTGCAGAAGCAGACTGCGTGGAGTGGACGTGGAGACAGCATGATGAGTTCAGCAGAGAAAGCCACAGATGCGGAAGAGAAGCAGCTATTTGAAGAAGCTACCCCTGGCTGACGGCAGCACAACATTATCCAAGGAATTGTGAAAACTGGCCAGGTTGCCTTCTGTCTGTATTTCGCCATATCCCCCACACGTCCAGATGGCCTGGCCAGCAGTATGCTGGGTACTGGCAGAGAAACTGCGCTCCAGCTTTTCTGTTCTCACTGTCTTAGAGCTCCTGATGTCCCATATCCCAGTGGTTATAGCTCTGTTATCAGATATTTTGGAACTGTTGGAGAGTTAAGGTGAAAAAGACCCTTTTAAAGACACTGAAATTTATTGTGCTGTATTAGATTTTAGGGAAGGGGGAAACTACACAGCAAAAAGAACATACTAAAATTAGAGACTGATCTCAAAAAATGCAACACTTATGTTGCAAGTTAAGTTTTCATAAATTTTAAGATATTTAATGTAGATTATGGGAGCCCAAAACTGAAAATCCTAGAACTGCAAGTCAGACAACTGAAGTTACCTACAAAGCAGGAGTACCTCCCAAGTCTCTGTTGGAGCTCTTGCCAAAAAAACGAAACCCATCACTGTCAAGTTGATTCCAACTCATAGTGACCCTATAGGACAGAGTAGAACTGCCCCTATAGGGTTTCCAAGGCTGTAGTCTTTATGGCAGCAGACTGCCACGTTTTTCTCCTGCAGAGCAACTGGTGGATTCGAACAGCCAATCTTTTGGTTAGCAGCCAAGCGCTTAACTACTGTACCACCAGGGCTCCAGGATGGTCTTAGGGCTGCCTATCAACTGTAACTGTGGTTAAAGTCCTACCCTAGAATGCTCTTTCATCTGAGCAACAGCCCTGCTACTAAATAAGAATGCAATGAATCCTCTTACAGCACACCCAGCAATTTGTTTTGTGAAGAGAGTCCTTTAAAAGTATGTATCATGACGCTATGAAATAAATCTGTTTTGTAAGTGCAGCTTCTTGTAGAGAAACTCACCAAAAATTTTAGTTTTTTGTAAACTTTTGAATTTCAGTGAAACTTTTCATAAACATAAAAATTTATGCTGAGATGACGTATTGTTTTCATTTACACATTTTCTCCTAGACAGTTTTCACTAGGTCCAACGGAAAGCAATATCATTCTTCTTTCTGTAGTTATCAGATCCGACATCTATAGCAATTGCTGTGGGTCCCGTATGAGAGGAGGCCCACAGTTTCCCAAGAAGCTTTATCCAGAAGGTCTCCCTCTCTGTTAAATAGTGAAGCAGAAGTGATGTTCTGCTCATCAAAATAGGGCTAGATCTGAAATAACTTAGTTCATTAAAAACGGTCTTCTGGATCTTTGTATAGTTAGCAATTATACTTCACTAAAGTAGAAATCAGGAGCCCTGGTGGCACAGTGGTTAAAGCACTTGGTTGCCAACCACAAGGTCAGCGGTTTGAACCCACCAGCCGCTCTGTGGGAGAAAGATGTGGCAGTCTGCTTTGATTAAGATTACAGCCGTGGAAACTCTATGGGGCAGTTCTACTCTGTCCTATAGGGTCCCTATGAGTCGGAATCGACTCCATGGCAAGTGGGATTTTTTTTTTTTTGTAAGTAGAAATCGTCATTAATGTTCAGTGAAGGTCTAGGAATATAATACTGAACAGACAGATACTCAAATTCTCTCTCTGAACCCAAATTGTAAAACCTTCACTGTATTTTGATAATAAGACTGATTTGAACATTGTCATTATTGCTTCTCCTAATCACTTACCAACATCTTATAATGTCTGATTGATTCTGAAACTTGTAATTGCCAGCTAAGGCTTCTGAGTGTGATTCTGAGAGAAACACGCACTGCAGCATGCGGTTTTTAATCATGAAAGAACCGACCACCTGATCCAAGGCTCATCTCATGTTAGGGGTCAAAGCTTTTCAGAAATGATTTCTGAAAGAATTGGCCAAGCCAATTGTTCAATTTAAAACAAAATCAAGTAATTTGCCATCTATTACATGTAAATTCTGGTCCAGTACTGAACTTGTTATGGTTAGAGGGAACCTAGACACAGCCTTCGGTGAGAAAGTACTAGCTGTATCTCTTATTTCTTGCTCCTAGGGAACAGGGAAGGACAGGAAGAGAGCTGAAGGCAGGTAGCAAGAGAGACTGAAGTGGTGATGCTGCATCTTTTCTCATTTTGAATCCCTGAGAAGTCCTATTTAAGGAGTCTGAGAGAGGGTGAGTTGTCAAAAGAAAAGGCTTCTGGCACAGAGAAAAACTGAAGAGCTTTTGGTGCCCAGGAAGCTGGAAGCCAGCACTAAAATGACAAGGGTAAGGAATAACTTATTAAAAAAAAAACCCTAATTACCTAATTAGTGTTTGTTTGCTTTACATATTATCTCAAATACAATCTGCTTTCATGGTTGATTATAATGTTTGCCAAAGTTTCGCTGTTTTAATTAAGACATCTGATTTTGATAAACCGGGAATGGAAAAGTACTGGGCAAACTGGCTGAAGGCAGGCAAAGCTGGTATTTTTTATCTCCAGCTATGCCCGTCTTTGAAGGCTGCAGGGGCAGGGCACCTAAACTGCAGGGACAGCTTTTTGAGAGGCAAATAAGCCCTGCTGAAGCAGAAACTGCAAAATCGGAAGTTAGGAGGGGATATGCATGCAATAGCAGTTTTTTTTTTGTCCTTTCATCTAGATAACAAGTTTCAAAAGGTAAGGGCCAGGTCTTACTCATTTTTTTAAAGAGAGAAACAAAGTGAAGCATGAAAGTGGGAGGAAGGAAAGGAGGAGGGAAGGAAGAAAGGAAAGAATCTTTTAAAAACTTATCCAGCACCCACCCACGTGAGGTACCCAGTTACTCAATAATCAGTAATTTCAGGAGTACCCATAATTGCAGTCATTCTAGACTGATCCAGAAAAAGGATTCCCTTGGTGGTGAAAACATTTTTAAAATCATATTTTTTCTGATTATTAAAAGTTACATATTGTTTTTAGTTGTCATCGAGGTGTGTGCAGAGTAGAACTGCTCCATAGACTTTTCAAAGCTGTGACCTTTTGGAAGCAGATCGCCAGCCTGTCTTCTGAGGCACCTCTGGGTGGGTTTGAATGGCCAACCTTTTTGTCTAGTAGTCCAATGCTTAACTGTTTGGGTCACTTAGGGAAAAAAGTTATAATGTGTATTATTACTTAACCAAGGATGGTTAAGTAATTTAAGGTCTTCCTATACATTCCCTGGTGGTGTAGTGGTTAAGTCCTATGGCTGCTAACCAAAAGGTCGGCAGTTAGAATCCACCAGGTGATCCTTGCAAACTCTAAGGGGAGTTCTACTCTGTCCTCTAGGGTTGCTATGATGATGGCAACGGGTTTTTT